ATTACTCAGTTGAAGTGTTTATAGGTAGGAGGAATAGGTGTAAACAAACCCTTCTCCAAGTCATCTCCACTGTTATAACAAACTTCTGAGTAACTTGGCAAATCCAATTGAACTGAGCTTTTCCTCAAAATGTCGTATTCAGAGAAATTGGTGTCGTTGGGTTTCATTTTTCCTACGTTATTGTCATTTTTCCAAGCTTCGTTCGTCCATTCTCGCTTTTCACTCATAAATGAACATGAAGTCTTATGTATCCGAGTTTAGCAGTTTTTCCCTTATATTAGCATTAGGTAGCTCTCTTTCTTGCTCCAATTGAGGTTTGTTTTGTGCAAAAAGAGAATGCGACGATGAGATGGGAAAAGGCATTTCTTTCTCTTTTGTGAAACGTGACGATACTTTGCAAAATGAAGTTTAGTACATATTTGCTGTACCCCACTATCTATAAGATTTGGCACTGTAACGATAATCAAAGACATCCTTATACAACTTCTGCTAATTGCGTTTCTTTTCGTTAAATGAAAAACATAAACAATGGATTGGAGCAGGTTTCTGTAAATTAGTAGATGCTGCGACTTCCATATAAACGGTCAGAGAAGCGTTAAAAAAGTGAAGAGAGGAAAAAAGAAGAGGAGGAGCCTACAGCACCCCGGATTCCCATGTTGTCTCCAACCATAGTACTAACGAGGCCCTCAGACGCTTAACTGCAGTGATCGGACGGGAACTGGTGTTTTCGCCTAGGTGTGGCCGTAGACAGTTGATGTGCTTCAACGTGAAACCCAAACGAAATAACTGTCTTAGTTTTTCTACTTTTCAATTTCAGTAATTCAAGCAACTATAACAAACACAAACATTTCCGTATCTCCTTCATACTTCTTTTATTCGTTTGCTCTTTTTAGTATCAAAAACGACTGCTAGTTTGAATCACACAAATCTATTTCGACCCAATCGTGTTGGGAGAATGGCCCTGAATCATAGAATTGATTTTTCTCCCACAACAAAATTTCGTGCTGCCGATGATCATACTCCTAGTGTCTTGATGCACCAATACTAACTATTCTTATAGAGCATAAACTCCTGGTTTTGATTAGATCAATCGTGCACGGGTGATAGATTGCGAGGAATCATGCTTAACTCTTGGGAAAAAGGTAAACTGTAAAGCAGGTACTTGTGTGTTTCATGAAAGGACTGAAGAATCCACTACTAAAAAGAATGCTACAAAGTCACTTGTAGTATTTTCATCAATTTAGATTCGCATGATAGTGACCATCAAAGAAGACAGAGGACAGAAGCGATATACGAGCCAGAAATAAGGCTTTCGCACATGTCCCTTTTTTTCTCTTTTTTAGTTTTGTGAGATGATTTTCTGACTATTGTCAAATGGACAGCAAAAAAATGACAAAAATTAGATTTAGAATTAGAAGAGTGTATCGAGAAACGGAAAATTATGATTTCTGACTGTTGAAACGAGAAAAAAGGATCTTCTGGTTTCGACATTGATTTTGATTTTCATAGAAGAATCCTCGTTTTCGTAGACGAAATGAAGCACACTCAGTAATGGCTTCAGACACTAGACTAGCGAGATAACAAAAAAACGAATGCAAAGATATTACGAATGAAGCAAATCTTCTACAAAAAGTTTGTAGTATCGATAAACCATTTCCAGTTCTTTTTTGTCCACTGTATTAGCAAAGATTTCCAATACTTGGCATAGTGAAAATTCCGTGTTCTTTAAAAGAGGTATCAAATCGGCAATCCATTCAAATCTGGAAATGTCCCTATAGTCCATATTTGATCCGTAAACAACGCGCTGGTATAACCACCATGCTTCGCCATATTGTTTCTGTTGAATAGCTTGATGCAACTCTTTCAAAACCTTTTTCTGCTCTTGGTATTCGTTCACTTGTTCATATGCAACAGGTTCTAAAATTTTCTTAAAAAGCCTGTCTTCCCCGATATATTGAAAGTCAATTATACCGTTTGAGGAGAGTCTTTCTCTCAAGGAAGAACCTCGATAAGGAAGTTTAGTAGGTTTCGGACAATACAAACGTTGGTAAGTCAAGTAAATGTTTTTTAGTAATAAGCTTCGCGTACTTTCACTTAGAGTCCCGAAAAGATCACAAAACTCATACACGCTTTCTTCGCAAATGGGCTTCAAATCAGAAATCCACTCAAAGTCCTCAACGTTTTTTGGGTCCAGGTACGAGTTTGAATTGATGTATTGATAATAATACCAAGCATCCCCGTACATTGATTCATTTACAGAGGTTTCTAGTGTTGCTAGTGCTTTCGCAACTTCGGAATAATGATTTGTAGAGTAGATAAAGATAGGCTCTTGAAATAGCGTATGAAAGAGTTGATCATTTCCTTTGTATTTGTATTCAATGGAATCCAAACCGCTCTGTCGTTGTTCAGTTCCAAGACCATAAGCAAGGTCATTGTTGCAGAAAAAGAAAAACAAAAAAGATATTCGTGCAATTTGTTTCAACATTGTTCTGGAAAATAGTTGGCCAGCAATAAGTGAGGATAATTCAGTATCTTGTTTCAAATTAACTACTATGAGAATGCAAGCACAAAAGATCGTGTAGGTTAGGAAAAAGAAAGTGAGCGTCAGTGTAGTATGGAGTGTATTTGTATTAGGAGTATGGGTAAGATGGAAAAATGGTGGTGTGTGTATGAGAGGGGAAGCCAATGTCAGTCGCAGGTGGTAAACTCACCGTTTATGTTAATGGCTATTGAGAGGAAGTCATGTTGGACTCTTATAAGGTCCAGGGTATAGAGAAAAGATCATTTTTAGTTGAACTCATCAAACCTTTCAATATGAAGATTGGACAGCAAGTCCCATGGTTCAAAGCTTTTTTGTTTACTAAAATAGCGAGACTTGAGCGCAATAACAAAAGTTGTTAGAAAAGCTAAGGGAGTGAGCTTAACGCTTGTAGATTCAAATGGAATGTAATTTTTAGCATGTACTAGAAAAAGTTGCAAAACATATCGACATCAATATGCTTAGAATGAGAAGAAAAGTAGAAAAAAAAAAGACTAAAATGTTCGATCATACTGTTTTTTTTTCTTTTTCTTTTTTGATAAATTTAACATATACAAATCTTGTATTGTTTATTTCATTATGTTTGTTTACCCCAATTTTCTGAAGTTAGTTTTACCCCTTTATACTTTATCAGATCAAACAAGTCTAGAATCATGGCTTCAACACTTTGTCAATAAAAGTTCGGATAAATAAATTTCTACCTCTAAAGAATACTCTTCACTTGATCAGAAATTATTACAAAGAAAGCACGTCATGCATCTGATATTTAAATCTGATAAATCCAAGCGAACGAACTTATATTTGCAAAGGAAATTTCTCTAAAGAAAGAAGCGAATAGTGTATATGCAACCGACTTTTTCATCGTATTTGCGAAGCAGAAACAAAACTTGCAAGAGGACTTTCACTTCGATTTTTGACGTCCTCCTTGCTTTCCATTAAATTGAATTTTTACTTTACAGATTTTGTAGAAGGGTCGAATAAACATGCAGTCAAAATTTTACAGATTCTTTATTCGGGATTATCAAAACATATGGATGGTTTCCATCATGGGAACTGCCCTCTCTGCTAATGTTTTGCATGAATTCCCTTACAGTTCACAATGGTTGCGCATCTGCTCATACATTATGTTTGGATGTGCTTTAGTAGCCTTTTTCCTCAATACAATCATCTTTTTTCTCAAATATGTCTTTTACAGATCGTTTCTCCCTAGAGAGCAAGCGTTTAGTAATATAGCCAACTCATTGTGCTTGGGCTGCTATACCATCGGATTCGAAAGTAGCATCAACATGCTGTGCTATCTCAGTAGTTCTTCTTCTCCACAAAATTGGATCAATTTTATTTATATCCTTTGGATTTTTAGTGTCGCCATGTCTTTTTATTCCTCATGGGTCATCTTTTCCGTCCTATTCACTAAACGAGCGAATTTTCAATTCTCTACCCTTTTGGGAAACATCATGCTTCCTGTAGTCCCTGTGACGGTTGCTGCTTCTACTGGTTCCATTGTCCTTCAAACCTTTTCGTCTCGTATAAGCCCAACCTTTGCCTTAAACAACATTGTCGCATCCTATATTTGTTGGTCAAATGCAATTGCTCTCGGTTTCTGTATGGTTACTGTCGTTTTATGGAGGTTGATTTTTTACAAGTACCCAGCCAGTCCCGTAATTTTTACCCAGTTTATCCCGATCGGCGTATTTGGTCAAGGCGCTTTCGGAATCATCATGCAGGCTCTTAACGTTAGAGTATATGGAGATCTTCATCTGCGGCATATTCCATCCATTGATGTTTATACAAATGCGGTAGTGATCGTCTCTTGCCTTGTGTCGCTATTTTGGATATCCTTTGCTTATTTTCTCACCTTTATAGCTATTTTTGCTGTATTGAGTCATGGCTTCAGACACAAGTTTACAGTAGTATGGTGGGCCACTACTTTTCCTCTTGGTACCATGTCCATTTCCAACTCCAAACTCGGCGAAGTTGCCCATTTGACCTTTTTTCGTGTTGTAGGAGCCATTTACGGTGTTGCGTTCATTCTTATCACCGTCGTCTGTATCCTTGGAAGTGCCTATTTGGGAATTGAAAAATTCATCTCGGAATTTCTTAGAAAGGAGTTTGATTCTCCATTACCCGTTGCTATAAAGCATGATAGTCAAGTTATTATAAACCCTTCAACCTCTCCCGTAAAACCATAGTGTTGTCCTACTCCGTACCGGAAAAAAAGAAATAAATTTATAATGATCAAGGACATGCCTGTGCTCCCTAATATATAGCATAATCATCTTTCATAAGTCCGGATTCGCTAATGATGAGAAGGAGAAGAAGTAAGTTAATTTATAAAGATATTGATATTCATTGCAAGATTCTTGAATGATCAGCACCTTTTCCTATGTTAACATTTAATCAAATAGCGGGAATCCATTTTAAGACAAGCATGCGATTGCTAATATAAGGGCCAGGCCGGACAGCGTAAGGATGGATCGGACAAATGGAGTTTGCGACTTCTTTTACCAAAATCTTTTCTTAATTCGACAACTTCCAAAAGGTTTTAATTCAAGAATGAAAAGAAAATGATGCATACATTCTCGATTCGTTGTCTTTTGACGTTACTTCTGGGAATTTCCTCTGCTTATCCTCAATGCCGTGGTGTCAAAAGAAGGAAGCCTGTTTCATAAAACCCATAAGTGGAATACTAACACGAGTTTAACTGTCCTCTCACTGATTGTTAGCAAAAGGGTTGCTGCTGTTTCCTGAGTTGTCAGCACTCAAATAACCTTTTGCGGAAAAACAAATCATAAGTTCCTTAGCTTGTTTTCTTATACTGCAATCGTCTCCCTCAGTTGGAGGTGGAGAACTCCAAGTCAGGACCGTTAGAGCTGCCTTTTTTTTTTGCTCCTTAAATCACGTCTGTTCTCGTTTCGTATAATCTTTTTGTATACCGACTTAGATAAAACAAAAGAAAATCAATTTTGACTTTGCTTATGGTAAAGGCAGTTATTCACGGCAGAAATTTTGTATCCTATCCGTGTTTTGTTTCTTCAAGTAAATGAAGTAGCTTCTAATTTAGCCTCTGTAATGAATCCTGGAAAATCAAACAAGAAACATCAGCAAGAATTCCCAAAATAATTATTGTAATGATCCACTTCTTCTTCCAATGCAGTGCTTATAATCACCGTTGGCTAGCAGCTCGAATTTAATGAGTTCTTGCTTACGAATAGCTTAGCTTGATAGCATCCGTCATAGGTGACTTAATCGATTTAAGCATAGAGAAGAAACAAAGAATTTTTCTTTCAGTCATCTCAACGGGGAAAACAACCCCCTTCAATTCTTAAGAACAATTACGTATTTTCACTTTGATCATTGACAGACGGCTTTGTAGCATCAAAGCGCCTTTGTTCGTAAATCGAAAGATTATCATTCGTGATTTTGACCAGTTCTATTTGCAAAAACGCTTTGACGAAATCTCGGAACTTATGAAACAAAAGGTGGAGTCGATGTTCACCGCTCTTTTTGAATATATAAATGACTGAAGGACCACGGTTCCTTACTTCGTTGCATCCGTGGATTTTACTGTAATTGTCTGTGTTCAGTAATTTCTTACTTACTCTGTTCCTCGCTTTTTTTTGTTTTTTATTAAAAACTTTTCAAGTTCAAACACAATGCGCATTTTTTTAATCAGTCTTTTCTTGATGGCTCTATTGGGGATTAGTACTGCTTATCCTTATAACGGTGATGCCAAAGGAAACACTACGAATGTTACTACCCATCAAATATTTAAAACCGTAACTTCTGTTGCCCCTCCGGTTTTTAAAACAAGCGAAGCTTAAGAGGGTGTTTCTACTACTATTTTTAAACGAATGCGAATGCAGTTGTAGTTAATACCAAGGCGATCATTTGCAATAACAAGTTCTTCTTTGTGGATGGTAAATTTTCATGTTAAAAGCCATTTGTTTATTTAGTAATCTTTTTCCTTCATAATATATGCCATTTGTTTATAATTATTGAGTTAAAAAAGTGAAAAGTGAGAGGAAAAAAGAAGAGGAGGAGCCTACAGCACCCCGGATTCCCATGTTGTCTCCAACCATAGTACTAACGAGGCCCTCAGACGCTTAACTGCAGTGATCGGACGGGAACTGGTGTTTTCGCCTAGGTATGGCCGTAGACATTCATTAGTTTAATGATGACCATATATACTTTTTGTAGTCGTGATGTTACCATTTTATGCATTAAAAAGACATGTTTACCTAATCTAACAGCTTGTAAAATTATTGTATCAACCCTTTTGGGATTCATGTTTGATAATCTTGTATTTGCTGCTCATAAGCTCAATAAGCAAAACTATAGCATTGATGTTTACCAAGATCTATATTTTTTTTATACTTTTGTATTTCTTTGGGATCTCTATGAATCTAGACGAACGACTAGACAAAGATATATCTAGTACTATTGAGTCGTCAACAAAAATTAATAGTTATTACTCCGTTTAGACCTATATGCTTCTAATAGGTAGATTAATTTAAGAAAGGGAATTCCAAAGATATAAAAAAGAGCCTCTCTACCTTAGTTGATCTTAATAATATATAGAGAATTTGGTCGCAAATTTAGAGACAAGCAATTGAATTGATAGTCCTTAGGAGTTGGTTGCAATATAAAAAGTTTCAAATATGGAACAACAAATTGGTCTAAAATAATCATAATCATAAATGTATATTTATTATTTTATCTCGGAACACATGTTATTGTTCATTTTCGTTTGTAAATAGCCTAAGTTCACCTCTAAACTTTGAAATCTACGAAAAATTCGTTTCGAGAAAAGCTTTTTACATGTGATGACAAACTTGTGTAAGAATCATTCGGAAAATCATACAATAACCACAAAAGCAAGCTAAAATTATATCATGTAGGGTGTCAACCTAAACTAATAACTTTCAATCTATCCCCAAAATAAAGAGGTTAAACTGGTACTAGCAGTAAAGAAAAATTTAGTTTAGTGTTATTAATTCCTGTAAGCAGCGTTTGATAGCTGTAATAGACTTCGAAAAAGAAAGAATATTTTAATTCAGAGTACGTAAATGACCTTGACGAGACTAAATTGATGCCCCTGTCATAGTCTCATAAAAAAAAACTTCTAGGGGAATAAGTAAATTAATACATAGTAATTAAAAAAAAATCAGGCCAGTTTATACTCAGCTGTTAAATTATTAAAAAATCAGGTGATCGGAGTATATATATATATATATATATACTAGATATCAATTAAACAAAACTTTTTGTTTGCTGGACGAGTCATGGTATAAAAAGGGGATATAAGAAGAAATTTAAATATTTATATCAGAAGAAGATAAACCCTTTTCGCCTTGATCCGAAACATCAGTTTGATGAATCGAGGCGTTTTCTTTTGCACCACCAGATTTGGATTGAAGTGCTGGACAGATAGACGGCACTAGAAATAGGGATGCTAGAATCATTGGAATAAAGTCGAAAACACCAAACCATACTTCGTGAGTGATGACACTACCGCCCCAACCTCCTGAAAGCTCTACAACGCGATAGATAGCACGAGCGAGAATTGCTATAGTTGCTAAACATAAACTTACAAAGCAGGCATCTCTGGATCGAGAACGAGGAGTATCTGTCATGCTGGGACCAGGTCTTACAGGCTTACCTTTGCAAACCGCTGCAGCAAAAAATAATCCCAAAATCGAAAACAAAAGAGTGCTGAAGAGTTGAAAGCAAATTCCACCAAGCATAATGTTGGAGCCCTTGTCTTGTTCTTTTGAACCCTCTTTTGCACCACCGGCAATACCACCACCAGCTGCTTGTAAGACGAGAGCGATAATGTCAAAAGTAATGAAAAGAATTGCATATAGCTTTGGCTTGAGAAGGGAAAAACGAGGGCCATAAAGCATCACCCAGTGATAAAGCAAGACATACACTTCAGCAGAATAAAAGACGGGTGAAATAATGAGGGAAATGATTTGACCCAAAAAGTCGTCATAGTTATTTGGATTGTAATGAGCATTTATACGACAGGCCCAACCAGCAATTTCACCGGCTGTTCCAATAATAGGAACAAGAATTAAAAGGTGCCGATAGATCACCAACGACGCTATAAGAAGGACGAAAGAAATACTGAAGAAAACGACAGCGATAATTGCCAACCAACCAGCTGGAATGTAACCGAACGCGTTATCATATGCTGCCATTCTTTTGTTTCACTATATTATACACACAAGAAGGAGAGGAGTAGAAAGCTCAAATTAATAAGCGAAAGAATTATAAAGAAGAAATATTGAAAAAGATCGATTATGGGTATCGATTATGGGTATAATTACGAGTCAATACTTCGGAATGATCGAAATAAACAAAAACGAGAGGAGATGGTGTTTCTTTCGAAAAATACTTAAATTTAATTGAAAAAGGAAAGACGACTTAAGAGAAGCAGTCAAGCTTATTAAGCAAATTTTGCCGAACTGCACGTTTGCAATTAGCTAACTGACTGATTCCGTTTCTGATCCGTTATTAGAGACTAAAAGAACGTGTCAAAGTAGTTCCCACTCAAGTTGGAACTGCGTAATACCAATTCAACCCAACTAAGGAAGAAGTTTACTCTTTCCCTCTATAGTTGCAGATGGACGGAACAAAACCCACTTATAAGGAAAGACTTTCGGAGTTCCGTCATGCTCCTTACTCCTCAGATTTCGTTTTTAGCTAGAAGTTTTTTTTTTCGGTAGTAATTTACCGAGGAGTTTCTTAACTTCTTTATTGTTATTTTGATAATAATGATTTTCTAAAAGAGGTTACATACTAAAAAAATCTTGCAAAAGCTGAATCAGATTTATGAAGGATATTGTAATCTTTAAGAAACGTTCATATGCAAAAGACTTTGTTCATAGAGAGACGGTCCACTTTGGAGAACGAATCGAGAAAACTATGATAATAAAATGTGAAAGATGCATTTAACTACAGTAATAAACACCCATGAAACCAGATACATAATATTATACAAAAGAAAGCTAATCTGCTCGCTCAATCAAGGCTTAGTTTTTTGTTTCGTTTAGCTAAAACAATTTCGTGTATTATCGATGCTTGATAAGATTTCGGCATATGAATTGGACAATCGGAGACGTTTTGTCGACCAAGGCATATTTTTGTACTATCTTGCTTTGTTTGTCTAAAGATCCTTTGTTCATGATTACAAGCGAAATAGTTTTTATCTGATTCTGTATTTTATTAGCATATCTGTAGACATGCGCTGTTATCTTCATGGATCTAGAAAGTAAATTATTTAGTAAAAAACATTTTTAATTGAGATTTTTCACCTTCGTGCCTTGTTTTTAACTTTGGTTTATTCTTGAATCTGCTTACGTTGATTATGTCTGTTCGGGTTTGTTGCGTTCAAATGGCTCCAAAAGTTGGAGATGTAAAAGCGAATGTGAACAAAATGACCGCATTCGTCGATGAGATTATGAGGAAAGAAGCAGTCGACATGATTATTTTTCCAGAGTTGGCTACCTCAGGATATGAGTGTGGGGACGCTTTCATCGATCTAGCAGAATACGCTGAGACTAGTGTATCCATTCAGTCTATGTGCAAAGTCGCAAAACAATACTCTGTTCATATTGTGTTTGGATTCCCAGAACGACAAAGTGAGGAAAGGAAAGGATTGTTCAATTCCTGTGTCTACGTTAATCCCGACGGACACGCCTGTGGAACCTATCAAAAGGTCCACTTGTTTAATTTAGAAAGAGAGTACTTTTCCCATGGGAAACAGTTTCCCATTTTCAATACTCCTTTTGGAAAAATGGGAATTTTGATTTGCTGGGATACTGCATTTCCAGAGGCCGCTCGAATGTACTCGCTACAAGGAGCAGACTTTTTGGTCATAAGATCCAATTGGGAGAAACCCTACGAGGATGACTGGGATCTGGCAGTGAGTGCTAGAGCTTTGGATAATTGTATACCGATCGCAGCAGCAAACCGCGTAGGCAAAGACAAAAGTCTTGCTTTTTTCGGCCATAGTCGAATCATCGGTCCTACAGGAAAGGTCCTGAGGAGTCTTGACCAAGATACTGAAGGCTACATTACTGCGGAGTTGGACTTGAATGAGTCTAAGCGTCTCCGACGAGAATACTACACCTTTTTCAATGATCGTAAACCAGAATTGTACACGGGACTAACAAATTAGCTTCCTATGAAGCGTATCATACAATAAATTCGTAAAGTAACCTCAATAAAAATGAGCAGCATTTCTTTTGAAGCATTTTTGTAATATTGTATCAGTAATATAACTTTTATAAATCTAATAAATTACTCATATGTCGCTATATCATCAACTGCGCTCCCGTGGCCTAATGGCTAGGGCATTTGACTTCTAATCAAGGGACTGCGGGTTCGAGTCCCGCCGGGAGCTATTCTTTCCTTACCGGATTTTTTGCTATTATACATTTGAAACCTTTTTTGAAGGTTATACTAATGAAGTATGTCTCGTGGAGACAAAATATCATATATGAAAGTGTTTAATGATGCATGCAATCATGGAGCCTTCAAACACCGACTCAGTATATTCTTTTCCCTTTGGGAGTGAAAATATTTACATTTTACTAGTTGAATACAAGTACAGTGATGCTGCTTTATGCTAGATATATCATCCAGTGCTTACAGATGCTACGGACACTTTCAAAGAACGAAGTGTAAGCTTTGTATAAATGCTGAATGATTATCTCTTGAAATTATAACAGAGTGATAATAAATTTAAAAGTTCAATCCATAAACGTAGAAAGGTCCGAAAGAAAGGAGAAGATAGAGGCTTAAAATGACATACATAAGATAGAATACTCAATCCCAAAAGTGATCGTGTGGAATCACAGCTTCATCTTCTATAAACGGTCCCAGTACCTGGACTGGGCGAGATGCTCTCTCAGCAATTTCCTTTGTATTCATTGTAATATACCAATTCTTTGGATTGAGTTTTGCCAATTTATTCAGACTCTCATTGGAAAGACCAAACACTATACGTCCTATGCCAGACCAAACGATGGCTCCGCTACACATTACACAAGGTTCCGTACTTGTGTAAAGTGTGCAGTTTCCCAAAGTTTGAGCATCTTTTAGTTTTGTTATTATGGATACTGCACGAAGTTCAGCATGCTGACTGGCGTCGCCAGAAGGAACCTGGTTTTCGGCTGTAGTAACCACCTTGTCGTTTTCATCAACAATAATACAACCAAAAGGGTGTTGGCCATGTTTCCTAGCATCTGCAGATATCTCAATTGCTTGGCGAAGGTATTTCAAATCCTTCTCTGATAGTATGTCAGTACTCGGACTCATACCTAAATCTGATTTTGAAACTTTCAAATATAAAAGATGAGTTCTGAATTAGTTAGTTATATATGAGTTGTGGTTTTGAAGATATATTTGAAAATGATAGGAGTTTCGGAAAGGTTTCATTTTATCAATAAGGCCAATAATCGTTGTGCAGACTTTGTGTATATATTATTCTTGTAATTCAGATATGTAATATTATGACTAGAGTGAACGTTAATATTTATTAGAAATCAAACTACAGCAAAAAGATCACTTAAAATGGTTAACTTTTTTAAAAGAGAAAATGAGACAAGGAAACAAAATGAACAAAAAGGAAAAATGAAAAAGCTTTTGAACAAAGAAGGGGATGGAAATCATTTAAATAAATAACCTTTATGATATTACAAAAATACATTAAACTTCAACATGATTTGCATTTTTCTCTGCCAAAGCTTCTTGCGTGATAGCGAGACGACTATGCTTGCGAAGGATATGACCAAAAAAGTAAATGATATAAATCAACAAGACAAGCGAAAGGCTGATAAAACCCAAGGTAGCCATTGCCCATGTTGTGGTCATGTTTTCAAACATTATAGCACCGAGGTGAACAAGGACAGCAGCTAAGGTAAAACTAGGGAGGGTAAACGCAGCAACAGCGGATCCGGCCACAGAAGGATATGAATCTGTAACATAGTTTAACATAGCTAACCAAAGCTGGGGATCGCCGACAGCAATAACTCCACCAGCAATTAAAGGAGAAACCCAAGAAATGTTTCCGCTGGAAGTAAAAGCAAACCAAAAAAGTCCAAGGGGGAAAAACCAAACAGTAACTAAAGAAATCAAAAATCGAGCTTCTGGACGATCAACACCGCCGTTTCTTTTTTTATCACGTCGATAAAGCCAATCTTGAATGGGCTGCATCATAACAACAATCGTTACACCAACTAAAAAGTTGAGGAAGGTTTCGTTTGCATGCATATAAGACATGTTATAGTTATTTTTGAAGACAGGGAATAGACCATCCAGATATAAAAAGTTAATACCGTATGCAAATCCATTATACAATCCTAAAGCTAAGATAATTGGTTCTGTAATGAAAATTCGAGCGGCCATAGTAAATGCAAACTTGGCACGCGCTACAGCTGATTTTGCCTTTTCGAGGGTAGAAATCTGCAAGTTTGTTTGTTCCATTTTTTTTTGCATATTGCATAACATTGCTTGCAGGTAAAGTTTCAGGTATAAAAATACAAAGGATGACCAAGACACCACCGACGATCATGTTCATCCAGTAAAACCATCTCCAATTTTTTTCAGCGAATGCTTCACCGATTGGTGATCCAATAGAAGCACCGGCATTTGCACCCCAGACAAACAATGCCATACCCAGACCAACGGTTTCTTTTGTGAAAACATCGCACATGCTACTAGCTACATTTGCCACTGCAGCACTACCACAGATTCCAGCAATCGCACTGTTAATGACCATCATGGGGAGATTATAGGCCAAGGCTTGGGGAATTTGAAAAATTATATAGAACAACAAGGAAATCACATATACCCATTTCCGACCAAGGATATCTGACATAGGACCTAAAACCATTGGTCCGCATGCATTTCCGAGAATAAAAAGACTTTGAACAAGATTGGAAGCCTGCGAACTACAATGCCATTCATTTTGGAAGAAACTCGTAAAATTTATAACTGCCGTAGATGACCAAATAATATACACTTCTAAGAGTGTATAAATTATGGCAGCAAACCATTTCTTCCATGCAGGCCAATGATGAGGATGTGCTGGATGGTTTTCATCAATGGACATCAAAGCCGTCGCGACATTCCATTCATCCAGTTGTTCAACCGACCCTTCTGACAGCTTGTCATGAATGATAGTGGAGGCAGAATGTCGCACTGACTTCTTCTCTTCTGGTGTTTCATCCATCAAAAAAGTATTGTTTCCTCCATTTCCCGTAGAGACATCCATAATTGATTGATTTCCTGTTTCAATCACTGATGATGGAATTTTACCTTTTACTTGCCTTTTCGATAAATCTTGGAAACGGCTAATTGATTCAAGATTGGAGTCGTGAAGTTGCCACGACAATTATTTTTGATTTTACAAACAAAAACAGGCTACTTTGCCCAAAAAAATAAACGCTACAACTTTGTAATGGTGTTTGGTGGAGAGCAAAGTCCTAATTGCCCTACTGGTGCAGCGTTGTTTCTTCGTGTTCCTCCTTACTCAACCACTTTCTTACTCAATGAAGTGAACTTCGGTTAATGGACCATTTAATGCTCTTTTCCTGATAAATTTCGTAGCGTAACGTTAAGAGCGAGAGCCCAACACCAATGAACAAGAACTTGTTTCACTCAAAATTGCAGACGGCAAAGGAAAATTTTCATCCCGGGTAACAGAAACAAGTCCCATTGTGACCTGTGCTATAGGTTTATTTATGGCTCTTTGTGCTTGATTATTCTTGCATATCCATTGTTTTTTCTTCTATTGTGTTTACTTTTCATAATGAATCCTCATAATATTTAAAAAAGAAACGTTGTTTACTCTAGTCGGACCCATAGTTAATCGATTCATTCATAGCTTTATATGCACGTTGCAACTTGATTTTGCCATTCTCAATCGTAAGTAAAGTAATGATGCAATATGGAGTAGAAGAGCAGTATAGGTAAGCTTTCTAACATAAGAAATTGAAGGGTTGCAGCAAGTAGAAATAACAAAGGAAGCATTTCTCAATTATTTCTGTGTACAAACATCCCTACACGAGGATGTCCAATCGTGCATGATAAATCATTACAAGATAACATTCTCAGGAATAACATACAGGTCTGCGAGGAAATGAAATCAAACCGTTATCATGTTGAGATGTCAGCCGAATGCAAGAAAAAATGAAACAATTATTCCTTTAAGATAAACCTTTATTTATTGCTCGTTCCTATTTGTTTCATTTGTATCTAATCTAGGTCTGCACCTCTTTCATTCTTTCGAAATTTTGGGCCATGACTTCATCATACACGGTATCTGGTCCTTCGTTTCAGTAAAATGTATATAATCTTGACTTTTTCACATACCTTTGAATCGTCCTTTTAGTTAAGAAATTAGAGAAAATGACAAATTCAGAAAACCCCGTTCAGACCAAGCGAGTCTTCCAAACAAAGGAGTATCAAAAGATGATTCAAGGAGAATTGTAGGTGGTTTGAAAGAGAAAAGGAGAAATAAGATGGACAACGAAAGTTGCATTTTTCAAAGTGATTGCTCTAGGCTTCTTCTAATTATATCCTTTTATTTCTTCATTTATACTAATACTTGTATTTGGTAGATATTATTCTCCTGATGAAGAACTCCAGGAAGCAAGAGAATTTGCCAAGTTGGTCGCACGCCAATTCAACGACACCCTAGGGAATCCCAACAACCTTAGTAGTGAGGAATTCAAGAAACAAAAAATTACTATCTTGTCCCAGGTCATGTCTTTCGAAGACGACGGTTCTTCCATCGATATCGAACCTCCTTTGGGCCTCGATTACGGACTCCATATACATATTGGCAAAAACTTTTACGCCAATAATAATTGCAATTTTCTCGATGTTGCTCCCATAACCATTGGAGACAATGTTTTGCTTGGCCCCAATGTATGTACTTAAAGCAAAGAGCTAAACTAAATTGGACTAGGCTAGATTAGATTAGATTAGATTAGACTACTTTTTTTACTACTCCATGCTAATCATTTCTTTAGGTGAAACTATGTACAGCTACTCATCCGTTGGATTTCACAAACCGAAATACAGCAATGGAGTATGCCAAACCTATCAAGGTATGTTTTCTCCTTATACATGTGATCGTTGACTAACTTAATGGAAAGATTAATGACAATGTTTGGATAGGCTTGGGAGCCATTATTCTCCCAGGTGTTACACTTGGCAATGGATGTGTCATTGGGGCAGGATCCGTCGTTACTAAGGATATCCCTCCTAACACAGTAGCAGTTGGTTCTCCTGCTCGTGTCGTCAAGGAAATTAATCAGAATAATGATGCTTAAGTATATCCAAAAGTTGAAACAAAAAGCCTAGCCAACAAGGGTCATTTGTAGTAAGATGATGATCATCATGAAGAGAATTTAAGTATTACGCTTTTTGGACACTTTTTAAGACGCCAATGTTAAACGTTATTCAAATCTCAAATCTCAAATGTTTTTATTTTTATTTTTATAACTTTATGGCTTTGCTTCTATAAAGATTATTTATTTTTTCAATTCATAAAAACCAAAAAAGAAGTAAATAACAATCATCTACTTTCTTTTTCTTCTTTTGACAACACACTTCCGTCTGCTCCAAGGGTAAGGATAAAACTTACAGGAATTCGTCAGAATTGTGCTTTTGTTGTTTACGTAAATTTCGCGGCTAAGCTTGAATTACTGAGCCTTCTGAAATTATGACTCGTCACAATAACAATTCCATATATTAGTATATACTATAAATAGTAATCAATCTCCATATCCTAGCATTTGTTTTATACAGCGTTATAAGTTTTTACTACAAATATAACATCTCTCATTACTGTTTTACTATCTTTAGTACTGATGGAATCCGTAGAATTACCTTGTATCGATCTTTCTGAAAAAAATACCACATATCTCAGTTCGGAACTTCTTGATGTTTGCAAAGACTGGGGTATTTTTACAGTGAAAAACCATGGAATTCCAATAGAAGAGATAGATTATATCTTTAGGATTAGCGACGAGCTTTTTGAATCACCTACGCAGGAAAAGCAAAGTTTACTACTCAAAGAGGACAGATTGCATTCAGAGTTTACAGGTCATTTTTGTGAAGAGTCGGATGTCAAGCATCAACATAAAAGATTTCTGAAGGAGTATTACGATGTAGTAGGATTTCCTAACCCGGATTACAAAACGAATAGCCCAGTTATTGAAAGATACTTTCCTGAAATAAAAGCATTTCAAAGACATTGCTATTACCTTTCATTAAAAATTCTTGATTTAATTGCCCTTGGTTTTGGATTTCGACAGATTTCTTTAGCAAAAACCATAGTTCATCTGAAGATATCCTTCGTTTACTTAATTACAGCATTCCCGAAGGAGTGGAACTGCAAGATTATGACGAAAATGCTGGGGCCCATTCTAATTACGGATCTATTACTTTACTATTTCAAAAAGACAAAGGAGGTTTAGAAGTTCGACCGCCATATCCACATGTTGTAGCCGATTGGGTCACAGTCTCTCTAGAAAAAGGAACGGTTTTGTAAGTAAGAGTTTGTACCGGACTTGTTTCACTCGAAAGAATGACATTAATAATTGTTTAGAATAAATATTGCAGATATATTACAATTTTGGACCAGTGGACAACTTAAGAGCACTGTTCACCGAGTGAAACTTGACCCAAAAATGAAAACGCGACGGAAAATTGCTTATTTCGTAGCACCTGATGCTAATACTTCTTTAGTTCCATTATTTGACGAAAACATGGAGGTTACTGGAGACAGTAAACGCAGGTTGAGTAAACACAAAAAGGTACGCTCTCATCTATGGTTATGGCGAGCATCTCAAGATAAGGTCTGAGCACAAAACATGACACCGGTGAACATAATCACTCGATTCATTTGGGAAATGACAGATATCCCGGTATGTATATGCTCAAGTATTTGAGCATTGAGCATGAATGAGTTTTAACGCGGCATTCTTATTTTTTGACTTCTACACGACTTCTACATGAAAAAGAAAGAGTATATATCACGGCGATAACTATAAATGGAATAGTTCTACTTCAAGCAAGTACATTGCAGGCGACAATCACAACCGTAAATAATTATCAACATTAAGAACTAAATTTCATAATTTTTCAATATCATAGACAAACAATCATAAAAACTATCCTATATTCAACGCCATTTCATATCATCAAAGTTTCACCATAGGTCATAAGGAACTTTATAACAGGTACACCGCAAGGCTTTTACATGTCTTCATAATCACTAGGAGGATCAGTCAAAGGTACATAACGCACTGAAAACAAAAACTTTTTCGAAAGGTTTCCATGAGCATCTTTATCATAAACAAAAATATCTTGAAATGTTGTACCCACTGGAATAATCATTTTCCCATGGGGTTTCAGTTGTTCGGTTAACCGTTTTGGCAGATCCGGAGCCGCTGCACCTACGTGAATTGCATCGAATTGTTCATCCTGAGGTGAACCTAGCCTACCATCCCCACGGACAATCTCAATTCTCTTTTGCTTCAACATGTCTTCAATCAACGGGTCATGCTTCGCATCTTCTTGTAAATTCTTTTTGGAAAGATCGACGAGTCCTTGTATATGCTCGACGCCTTTAACGTAACCTGCTTTCCCAACCATACGAGCCATGGCAGCCACTAAATAACCACTTCCCGATCCAACATCTAAAACTCTGGCACCCGGCTGAAGCTTCGACTCCAACTGCTCTAAAGCAGTACCGTGCATATGGGGAGCTGATATGGTAGCGCTATACCCAATGCTTTGGGGCGAGTCCGCATAAGAAAAGTGAGGGCAATAAAATTTGCGATCAGTATGCTTCATCGCTTCAATGACCCTCGGCTTTGAGATAATCCCTGCGAGGTTTAAATTTCGAACAAGAGCTGCATTTGAGGAAGCACTACATTCCCAAGCCATTCTGAATAAAGATAATATGAAAGAACAAATCAATAGCAAAATTGGTAAAAACAAGAAAATGTGCGATCGATAAACCATATAATCAACCGTTGCCACAATTTTTACTTTATATAGTGAATGACAAAGCAGTTTTTTTATGATTCGTATTCGTTTACTGTTAAAATGGTTAATTGCCTCATTTTCGGTTTGTTAACTCACACATTTGTACACTAATTTTGTTTGCTATAATGTACACTACAGCAATAAAATATGACAATAAACGAGAAAAGCTCTTATTAGTTATAAGTACCAAGAAATGAATAGATCCGAAATCTAGTCTTACCTTAAAATAGTTGACTCATACACACATCACTCATCCAATAAAAGGAACAATCCTTACACAATATACAATGACCTTATATTAAGAGAAAATATTGGATACATCATGAATTGTATAACTTTATTCAGCTTACAGCATGTGATTCAATCTAAATTTGGATTAAAACGACTTTTCAGATTGAATACTTAAGTAACTTGTTTTGTACCTGTTACTCAAATGCAACGTGGATATTAGAACTAATTCATTTCATATAAATAATATTCGTTTAGTCAAATTCTGTTTAAGTTGATTTGGACTCCAAAGTATTGATAGCAGCTTCTGCAGTTGATTTAGCACTTTGGGGATTCACTCCGGTTACAATTCTGCCGTCGACCTGAACGAAATCCGACACGGGAGTAGGAGGGTTGATATATTTCGCTTCAGCCTGTTCTAAAATTTCATTTAGGAATCCTATATTGTGGTTTCTCATAGAAGTAGAGAGCCCCATCATTACTTCTCCTGCGTGAGTAAACGCAGTTACATTTTTCCCATAAACAACGGATTTCCCGACAGGACACTTTGAGTTTTTAACATGTGCCAACAAAACCGGGCCGTGGCAAACAGCTGCTAGAATTCCTTTATTATCGTAAACTTTAGCTGCCAAGTTCTGTACGCCTTTGGCTGTAGGAAGATCAAACATAGCACCATGTCCTCCTGCAACAAACAACAGTGGGTATTCATTAGGATCGACATCCTTGGCAGCTTTTGTATTTTTCAAATAGGTCCAAAACTCTTCATTCTTATCATCGAGAACTTGTTTTTCCAATTCTCCTAAATTTGTTTCGGTCAAAGAATGATCATCAAACCTGCATTGTCCCGACTCAGATACCATCTGAACATCGTATCCGGCTTTCCTGAATACCTTGAATGGAACAAGGGTTTCAGAAAAATATGCACCTGTTTTCATGCCATCTAGATAAAAAGGGCCATAGTAACTAGTAGTGGCCAGCAACACCTTCTTTGTGGTCATCTTGCTGATTGTAAGTTTTGCTATTTTGACGGTGGAATTTTGAGTATATATATGAATCCCTTCTGAGATATGGTTGTCGCCTCTTAAGTCATAATACACTTTACATACCTAAGATGACCGAGATGTAGCATCATCACTAACATATAGCAGAGGACAAATAACAAAATGTATATATATATATACAAACACATGTATACGTACAGATATACCAAGATTCACACAAATCATGTAATAACATATTATAAAAAAAATCAAAGAATTTATGTATGACGATGCTTTCCGGAAACATCATCTATTAAATTTAACTACAGATATTATAAAATCAGTCACTTATCCTTTCTCGTATATTTCTTTCAGAAACTTATATAATGCATTCACTCCAAATTTTTGAGACCATTCCTCTAAAGTTATACGATTTAAATATAAAAAGGGAGTTTCCGTAACGAATATACCATTATGGATGCCATTCTTTTCAATCAATATTCTTTCAGGATATTTCTTCCCAAAGGAAGACTTTTCAAAGCTCCATTCTAAAATTTCATCTCTTAAAACTTCATTCTCACCAACCAATAATAGAAAGTTGCCTAATTTAAAAGTTGGAATTTCTGACCAAAAGTCATTACAAAAGTTCAAATTTATATTCGTGGAAGGTAGAGAATATAAATGCTCATTTTGTCCAAAATACTCTCTTCCAAATTTTTGCAAAACTTCAAAGGACATAAAGTCTGTATAAGCGTTACTCACATAAGATTTAGCTTTCTTGGCATTAGTCAAATCCAGCCACGGCGAAATTAAAGCTACACCAGAAGGCCAGACAATATTTTCTGATTTGGACTTTTCATTTAGATGGTAAAGCATTGACAATGCCAAGTTCCCACCAGCAGAATCACCTATCAATATTATTTTTCTATACCCAAGAGAAACCAGCTTTTCGTAAACGCTTACACATTCTAGGATTTGTGTTGGATAGGTTCTCCCTTCAGGCATCAGGGAATAATCGACAAGCAATATAGAAGGCGGCTTCAAACCATTCTTCAAAAAGAGAGAATAAAGACTACTAAAAGCGAATATATTATACTTTGTATAAGGATAACTCATCATCCCTCCGTGAAGATGAATGATGATGAAGTCTTCTTTGCCCATTTGAGGGTGCTTAGCGAGCCAAGCAGAATCGGGAATATTCTTCTCAGTATTCTTTCGAGTGAATACTTTCCCGTAGTTGGGAATACTTCCAAGTGGGTTCAATTCATTCTCGTTCCGTCCTAGAATATCAAATAAGTGGTCAATGCCACAGAGCTTGATATCTCTCAGAGTCGTTCCACTAGACATATGCAAGATAGTCATACAAACCAGGTTCAATAAAAGGCTCCTTTGGAAGGCTTCATGTTTCTGGAATCTTGTTCCCGCAGTTACGTACTGTATAGATGTCCAGAGCAATATAAGAGGAAGAGTAATTATTCGCTGAAAGAACGGGAAAGACATTATAAAATACAGAAATAAAATGAAAGTTTCGTTTACAAGCAAACAGGCGGACCGCTCACTAAAAGTTTGTAAAGAAGAAAATTGTTTCGATTAGTAAATACTAACATATGATGTTAAATTTTTGGTCTTTTATATTTCATTCATTAGTCAGCTGTAGGCCAATATTGCTGTAGCTGTCTCTATGGAGTACTACTGTAACAGTTCTCAGTTTAAAGCAAATTGTTACTTTTATCTGGTTCGTTAATGTTACTTACATCATCACTTTTTCAGTCCTTCAAACAAAGTAGTGTATAAACGATAAGACAAAGGTTTACATCTTCAGTAGCTGAATATATGATGGAACCATCATGTTCAATCCAATGAAGTAGCTTTCTGCGCTGTTATAGAAGCAAAGTGAGAATATGTATGTAGTAGGTGTTTATATACTTTCTTCGCTTTAAAATCTAATAGAAGTTCACATGTAAACCAATTATTAAGAAAATTGTATTTCGTTACAAATAGCTTTTAACCTTAAGTAGTTGTCAGCAACTTTCTAAAATTTCACACCGGTTAGATTGACAATCAGGAGTCAAAAAGAAACAAGTCTCTGATATTGATAAAAATTGACTTTATGGACATATTGTGTACCTTTGAGAAACGATAATTGTCGGTTCAGAGTAGACTAATACTGGACAAAACAATACACCCCTAATAAAACACAGTGGTATTTTCCTCTTTTACCAAGAAACAACTTCGTTTTTTGAAACAAAAGAGACATGCTTTACCAAGAAGTTTCCCCCGCCCTTTCAGATAGAAACAAAGGCCTTTGTTTTTATTTGTTATCAGCATGAAAAGATGCGAATGAGGAGTCGTTACTGAATGTACTTATTTTTTTATTCTCTTTAATTTCTATCTACTTTTCCATCTCCATACGTCGTATTCTTATATTCATTCACCTATTGTTCTTGCAAAATGCCGGTCGCAACTCAAAGACAAACATCCCCGCAACGGATCTCTAATTATTATTACTGCTTTGATAAAAATTTTGATTATTCTTCATGTCTCCGCTTGTGTTGTACCCTTGATCTTGAATCAAATCGACAATTCATTTGAACAATGGAAAATTTCGTTTAGAACAATAGGATCCTAAACAAAGAGAGCGTTAGATCGGTTCACTCGGAAACACCAGTAAAAGGTATAAATATCGGTCAACTTGAAGAAGAATTCAACATCCAAAGCTTGATTTCCAATTTTAAATCATTTGCTTTTGCTTTTTGATCAATTATAACACTTCGCTTTTTCATCTCGAATTATCAAAATGGACGCTATGAACAACACTCCCGCCACTTCCAACTCTTCTTCTCTTGCCAATAACTCTCCCTCCAAGCCCACTGTCACTACTAGCGGTGCTTATTGGTACCAACCCAAACCTCCTGCAATGTGGTAAGACGATTCTATCTTTTCTATATGAAGGATTCTATGAGTCAGATGCTAACAACGTTTTTAGTGTCATTGCTTAAGTTTTATGAAACTTTTACTTTACTATTTCTATTTTGATTCCACTCACTTTGTATATACATCGTGACTTTTCTAATAATCCTTAATTACAATGCTTTAATTAATATTAACCTTTTGCGAATTTTTTGAATAAATTTTGTCTTCTTTAGTGTCTATTATACGGGGTAGAAGCTTTAACTAAATCGTGTTTCATTGAAATTTTTGCATGATAAGTGGGTTGTAGTTATCATAAGGTTTTGGATCATTCTATACAGCTTTTATTCATAAAGTTTAGAAAAAAAGCAAAAAGATTATGTAAATGAGATCTTTGAGCGCTTTAAATCAGCCTTCGGCTCCTTCCATTGTAAGCGAAAAAAGTTCGCATATCATCTGCTTCTCCTTTTTTTTTTAACCATAGTGTATGGCTGCTATATCTTTATAGGTCTAAATTCCTTTTTGGATGAATAATAATAGTTCCTGTTTACGATACCACCACTATTTACGAAAGGATCAGAGCACCTCGGATGAACAGATTATAAGAGAAATGCTAAAGATTCTTAACACAATTAACATACAGGTTTGTTTAATTCCTAAATTCTCGATACTATACTTAAAAAAACAAAAACACCAAAATGAACGTACTTTAAAAAAGAGATAAAAGGACTTGCTACTTGTGTTTATAAGTACACAAGTGCGATGCGATCATATACTATAAAACATGAATGTCAGTGAAAGTTGCTTATAATTAATATATCGTGCAAGCGAGTATTCAGTTAAAAACCGGATTCTGTGAAGTCTCTCGTTTTTCTCCTTATTTGACTGAAGTTTCATTCAGGTTTAAAGGGGTTTTTTTAACCAACAAGAGAGGGTATTGTTTTAGTATTTTTCTTTTTCAATTTCGCCATTGACTTTTCGCGTGAAGTGATTGATGGGTTAGGAACGCTAGCTGACTTTTATTAGTTGGCGAACAATTTTAGATTCGTTATTAATGGACAAATAACCTTTTACTAATTGGAGCGGGTTCTTAATCTGAGAATACTGAAAGTTTACGATGTTAACCTTGACCAAGGATTTCCAAAGTACGGGCTCTTACATTTTAGCTATTGGAACTATGGAAAATTTATGTGTACTTCAAGGAAAGTGTCTGAATCTTTCCATTTATTAACATTCAGCATAATTTGCAAGCTTGGAAAATATTCCCTCCCATAAAGTTTTATATGTTAGCATCTAGTCGTTATTGAACCAGGTTCTTAAACAATATTATAATTTTTAAATACCTTTTTTGACTATTTTTTTTTTATTTTTTTTTTCTATTTCTCCTTCGTTACAGGAATACTATAAACCTTTCTTTTATATAGATCCAACCATCTATTTACTGACTTCGTTATATTGTCCGTTTTGTGACGTCGCCAAAGTAGCTACCCAAAATTATTTACCTGTAGCTGTCATGGTTATGACGAATGAAAGTACAGATAAAAAAATAAGCGACTAAGCATTGGCTCATTCATGCGTTTGCTCGCTATGACATCTCCTATAGTTGGTTGCCTAATGACCATAGATGTGAGGCGTAGATGAACCAATCAGTATGCTCTTAATTGACTTATTTATGAATAAAGCAACTTGAATACGTTGTAAGGATAAAATGGTTCCGTCATGTAAACATAGGAAAAAGCTGGATGGTACTGATAATTCATCATTTTTGGTTGCTAATATGCAATGGATTCAATGATGAACAGTTGAAATCAGCTAGGAGTCCTAAAATTACCTAAAGCTTCTTTCAAATTATTCATATATAAGTTGGCCAAGGAGCTTTCAGACTATAAGCCAGTTCGAATGTTGAAACAACGTTTTCTTGTTTTACCATTATTAACATTCAAAAGAACATACACTAGCAATATGTCAAGAATTTCAGACGTGGTTTTCAAAGATCATCGAGAGTTGCAGGATTACTACAACAAAATCAAGGTTGCTAAAGATACTGATACGGCAATTCGTTGGCAAAATCAATTTGTATGGGAGTTGGCTAGACACTCTGTAGCAGAGGAAATTGTTGTTTATCCAAAATTCCAAAAATACCTTGGAGATGTTGGTAAATCATTAGCGGAAAAAGACCGAAATGAGCATCAAATTGTCAAAGATTATTTGTACAAGTTTCAATCTTTGAGCCCAGGCCAGACGGAATATATCCCAACAATTGATGCCTTGATGAGCAATCTTCAAAAACATATTGAAGAAGAAGAAACTGAAGATTTTCCTCAGTTGGAAAGTAAGTTATTAGCAGATGAGTCAAAGGAGATGGCGCAAAGTTTTGAAAGAACAAAGACGCTTGTTCCTACTCAAAGTCATCCATCTGCTCCTAACAAACCTCCTTTCGAAACCGTTGTTGGATTGCTTTCAGCACCCCTTGACAAGTTACAGGATTTAATGAAACGTTGGCCGTAAGCTTCATTATAATTAGTTTATTTTTGCTAATATAGGAATGATTTAATAATATTTTTAACAATTCATTTTACTTTAATAATAGGATGATGCCTCCAGATCACCTTTGGATATGATTTATTCGTAGATAAACTTTCGTTACTCTTTCAAACAGCATGGAACAAGACCAATTAGTCGTAAAAGAATATAGTCACAAATTCTGTCTTTCAAATGGTATTCATATGTACTCATATAATCCTTTAATATCTTCCACCGTTTACTCTTTCGATCATGCAACTGTCCTTACTAGTAGCTTTGATGATTTCCAGGATATAATGCTCTTAAGACTCACGTTCTAGCTTTTAGATTATAAGTATGTGCGTTTACTAGAATCATATATACGTCGTCGTTCAGATTTTGTCATTTTATTTTGGACTTTGAGGGACAAATTAATCTTCAAAAAATTGGTGAAATTAGTTTAAGCTACAAAAAGATCATCCTTTTTCAGCGAAAAGTATGGTATTATTTGTTTAAGGAATAAATACTGAGTACAGAGGATTAAAACTATCTTCATATTATTAATACTCAAGAAATAACTCCATGATTCGTATTCAACGTTAAGGCTTTTTCTGTGATTAACACATTCATAATATTATGATGTAGATCTTTTTATCATTAATGTGAAACTAGTTCGCTTATTATGAGTCTTATTTGTTTGGATGCATTAATAGCACTTAAGCTCTAACTTGTAATGTGGTTAAGTAATAAACAAAGACATTATTGAGGATTTCAGCATCTCAATTTCATCTCCAAAGCTCTCTTAGAACAATTGAAGGCATTTAATAAGAATTACATATCATATAAATTTATGCAGAGCCTTTGCATATAGTCGATAATTAAGTATATAGATTGGAGATATTATAAACTAAAAGAAAAGAGCTTATAAGAATCGACGAGATGCAATGTCAATTTAGCTGACCATTTAAGCTTAAAGCTGAAATATCTGACTGAGGTTATATCCATTTAAAATAGGCTATTTTCACCACATTCATACTAGTTGATGGTTACGGTTCTCTGGGATTACTCCTTCGTAATTTTAAAATATAAGAATAGTTATAAGTTAAAAAAATATGAAATTAATAACTACATTCTTTCGATCTGTTTCCGATTTTTACAATATCAACCGAGAATTTACTTTTAAGTCCAATACGAAGTTTTTCTTATCTTAAGCATACTCCCCAAGTCCGAACAATTTTATTCTCATAGTCAAAGGAAGTAATAAATGTTCCTAAAGAAAATATCGGTGCCAAAGTTTATTTGGTTACTACCATCCAGAGAAGATTGTTCATAACAAGAGTTCCAGCAAATATTGTTCTCTTCCACTGTATAATCCTGAACTGACAACCTAAATTTTTCCCCGTTGAAGACAAATACTATCAGGGGCATCGCAAGGACACGACCATTGCCTGGGTCTCCTAATAGGTTATTGAGAGCAGATGTTAGTTTTCTATCAATTAACGTTGGAGTAGTGCCTGTGTCAAGTACTCCTTTGTAGTTGATACCCTTTTGTAAGATACAATTTTTATTCCCATACTTATCAAGACACAAAATACTGTCAACAGTAACGCAAAATCCGTCAGTAGTGCAATTATCGTTTTCATGCCAAGTGAACCCATTTCTCGTTATTTTGGAATCCGGTCCTCCAAGAATTAAAGAACTTTTTTTAGGATCGTCTAACATATATAAAATGATGCATTGCCGGGTGATACCAGTTATTTGTCAAAAAGAGCACGAAATGCATTCGTCCTAGATCCAGAAGAACTAGCACCGCGTGACATTTTCATGATTCCGTTAGCATGAGGACCTACACGTGTAGCAGCGCCGAATAACTGATTACGGACTTCATGATCTCCCAACCGAAATGTGTCTCCATACATCTCAACATTAACAGAAGATGATAGGTAACCAATATCTCTTGATCTCCTTTGGTCATGAGCTAAAGATAAATTTGAAGGATCATATAATTATGGGTTGTCGGTGCAACCCTTGCTTGTGCCGTTCATCATGGGCACCCATAAAGCAGTACTGCCCGTATCAATTAGGACATCAAAGGTTTGCGCTGGCGTACCTAGGTCAACTTGCACGAAGTATAATCGCAGGTAACTATGTCCACTCAATGGGAATTCTTCAGAACGCTTTATCTTTGTATTGTTCGTATAATCCAAGTTCCCCCCACCAAGGTTCAAATGTGGGGATGCCACTCGTTTAATCGGAAGTAAAAGAGAAGAAGCTGGTGCTTGAACGGTAGCAACTGAATGAGAAAAGAAGGCAGCAAAGATCATGAGAAAGAGCATAAGTACAATTGCTTATTGGCGATGACTAGATAAAACGAACTATATATATTTGTAAGCTTCTGATTTAAGGATATCAATTTTCGTTATCAAAAATATATATATCGTAATACGTTGTGGGATGTGACTCAGAATTTCTTCCTGCTGGTATCCTGGTGGTAACTAGCGCTTGAAACCTGTTTTTACGTTTCCGTCCCGATAGAATTTTAACAATGGGAACTTGTATAATTTTATTACGCTTATGCTGGTAATTGTCAAGTAGATCAGAAAGTCTCAAGGCACGACACACCTTTTTTCCTTATGCCTACTGTTAAACATCGAAGAAAGAGTCATTATTTAACGATAATATGGTTCCTCGGAGGGTGAAACCTTCAATGGTCATCGAGATGTATAATTAAGGTATAATATTTGTTTCTTGTTTATTTAGCTATTTTTTACCCCTTCGCAACCCACATTTTGCATTCTTGTGATCTACTTCCTGAAAAAAAAAAAAGACACTATGGAGTCATTAACGTAATATTTCCTTCGCTTTCTTGATCATCATTCAAGATGAGTGTCTTTCATCAATTGACGACAAACATTCACAAGTAATATTCTATCCTTTTTAGAAGAGTTGAGTCAACAAACGTTATAGGCCTTTGTACCTTCAACGGTGGTTTTCTTAAACATTCCCCCACTTTACGAAATACCCCACTTGTAACCCTTTTAAAGTTGGTTGTGACCTATCGTCCAAGTGAATAACATTGGTTATCTCAAATACAGAAATATCCTTAAATGGTCGTTACCACCCTTAAATCAGGAAAATAAACACTTCATAACTTACCTTTCCCAATACGTTTGAAATCACTAGCAATCCCGAAGAAGTATCGAACTTTTATGAAAATAAGATAAGGAAGAATGAATGAAGGTTTACCCGCACATCAAGAAAACTTGTCTACGAACGATGAACTTTTGTATGCAAACGAATTTGCTATTCCTCCTCCAAGACAGGAAAATGTTACTGAATTAACTCGCTATTTGAATGCATTTAAAAATGCTTATAACGATAAAAAATACGAGTGCGAGAGGCATGAGCTTGAATATAATCTTGAGCGAATAGCGTTAAGAAATCGAGATATGGATTTGGCTAACAATCAATTTCAAAGTAACATACGTATGCTTGAACAAATGCGTATCATTGAAAACCGTTTGAATAGTTATAGAAATGCAGAGGAATCCAACAACATTCAGCCTCCAAGCTGGTTCGTTAACTTTTTTAATGATCCTAACGTCGGATTCGTTGCTATAAAACGGGAACTAATTTCCTTAGAAGAACGAATGAATCAACGGCTTGAAGCCATGGAGGCAAGACAAAATCAACGATTTGAAGCCTTAGAAGAACGAATGAATCAACGGTTTGAAGCCATGGAGGCAAGACAAATTCAACGGCTTGAAGCCTTAGAAGAACGAATGAATCAACGGTTTGAAGCCATGGAGGCAAGACAAAATCAACGATTTGAAGCCTTGGATGGACGACTTTATGGAATAGAACAAAAATTGAACAGACAAGAGTACAGATATTGCAGATTGCACAACATCCAACTGAGATTTTTAGGAAAATCGGTTGAAGTCGTTCCATTCTTAAACGCTGAAGAACCCGATTCAGATTTACCGAGAATTCATTCGGTTGAAGATATTGAAAATTTAACAAAAAACCAATGTACTAACTATCTTGATGGTTATGGAATCCGATATGGACCCAATGAAACGATAAAATTGAAGGAACGTCTTCGTGATGCCGTGGGATTACAGTCTTTAGGAGATGCCGAGTTTCGATTTTCTGAGTTCAGCTGATTTTATTTCCGGACATTTGTTTTATTCGTTGCAAGAAAATTAATTGAATGAGTTTTTCGTTGTTTAATGTTTTAGCGAAATAATTTTTGTGTCATGGATCCTACTGTCCAAGGTATACTCTCAACGGAGCATGTTTAGTCATTCGTAATCATTGCTATAGGGAAATCATTGATTATTCGCGAGGGTGAAAGAGAACCTAAAAAAGTTGAGGATGTTTCCAAAAGTGCTAACGGCGAAGGTAATATATTCATGATCTTAGTATTATTATTTATTTATTTTACATTTCTTAGAACTCGTTATTAATGTTCTCTAATAATGTTTATGAGCCCCATTTTGCCTAGCATTGAACACCTGGAGGCATGCTATACTTAGGTAATTATAATGCATTATAATAAGTATATAAACAAAAAAAAGACTATTTTTCTAAACTTTGCAAGAAATACTTTTAGGGTTCACTGTTTGTTTTGTGAATGTATATATTTCAGATTGAAAAGTACACGATTTTAATTCTGTCTATGACAACTAATGCAAGATCTAAAAAAGCAGAAGTTTTACTATGCTAGCAAAATATTTCCTGTCAAATACCAATCCGTCAGTATAATGTAAAAATCATAAAAATCATAAAAATAATTGGTTAGATACTGTAATTCAAATCATCTATACTAATTTGAAGCGAGGTTGAAACAGTGCAAATGTCATCTTTTATATGGGGAAAAATGATGATAAAGATGAAACAAAAGAAAAGGTAGAACAATATCGGTATTGTAAAAACTCTGCTTGATATCATGTCTCCTATGGGTTGGGATGATTTCTACCAAGTTGCAAATACACAAAGCAACCATGATTTACAAAAATCCATACTGAACAAAATGAGACTGCGCAATTGGCCGGCAAAGATGAAAATGTACAGAAAATAAAGAGTTACAATGAAAGGATTCATTTGTAAGGCATACTCGAATTGGAATATTACTTTGCTTATGCATATATACCGGTAAAGTGTCCTTCATTTAACTTAGCTCTAAAACAGATATACAAAAAGATAGAGCCGCAAATATTTTTACCAATGCAAAAAGTAGCAAATAAAGAAATGATATAATGGCGTATCATAACGAGTAAACATCCGTCATGAAATCACCATATTGTATAATTCCGGTATCCTTCTACAAGATACCGGAAATTCTGATATTCGTTCGAGCAATGCATAGTGTAAATTGAGAGATGCGGGGCAAATTATCTGTATTGTCGCCATGTACGAATGGAATAACACCGCTTAATAACGCGAGAATCGCTTCCTTACGGTTTCTCATCTAAAAAATCTCAGCTTACTGCTTACTTCTCGTCCTCAATTCAGTGAGCCTGGCTAACATATAACAGTTTGAAGTATTCAACCAACTTTTAAAGCTACTTCATAAGCACACTCCTTATTTCCCCTCTATCAACTCGTATAATATGAAACCATTTGGATTTCTCAAAGGCTTCTTAAGTGTATCCTAAATTGGTATGGCATGAAGTTGAGTCCTTTGCAAAGGAAACATTCGTAGCTTTTACTAAGCCAAAATATTAGGCAGATATTCTTGCACTGTTTGGTGAATGTCAAATTGTCTATGAGCAATTCCTTTTTTTACTCTCAACCTTTTATTTTATGAAAATAGTCCCTTTTTTTTTTCTATTTTTTTTTATTCATTATGTACCGATAAAAATGCCATCACATTGTTATAAATAGAAAGTTACGCTTGAACTTTTTCATCCCCTTTTTATTAAAGATACCCGACGCTTTTTATTGCTATATTTTATGATGCAAAGTACTTCCCCACTTCATCGGACAAAGGACGAAAGAAAGGTGAACATCAATTTGTAAAAGAAGGATCTGAAATTATAAAAAAGGACAAAAAAAGTACACAAAGGTGAGTAGAATTTTTTAAAGACAGTGCTACAAGAATGATCCTCATGATTTCCGAGGGAATGAACCTTCAGTAAATCGCAGTCCAATTTTGAGAATGCGAGTTCCTAGACAGTTCCTCAAAGAACCATCTGGAACTAGTACATTAAAACTGATACTGATACTATAGACGGAAATACATTAAGGTTCTTTCCATTCCATCCTTTATTAGTCCCAAAATGGAGACTATATTAAAGTTCGGTATGAACATACTCCGCATATTCTTTTTATTCCTATAGGGCAAATAGCTCAGGAGCTATGTAACTTCTCCACTTTTAAATATCGGTTACTTCAATGAACGCCATTCTATAGGCCTTAAACTACATCATCCAACAGTATGGTCATGGGGGTTGATAGTAAATCATGAATAGTCAAAATGCTAAACGAGATCCAATTGGTTGCAGCGTTCATCACTCCGCTAAGTTTGGTTTTTAAACTTTTGCATCCCAATTTCGTTGACGCCGATGATCAAAACATACATATATATATAAGGTTTGAATCATTAGTGCGTTTGTCTTTCTTTCAAAATCTTTTACATTTTTCGTTAATTATCTACCTGGTGTTGTTTTAGTTTTTAGTTTTTTCGTGAATTCACTGTCTGTGATTTATCATTTACAATCCTTAATGAAGTCTTCTTTTTGAGCCTGGTTCATTTTTACTGTCTTGTCTTATAATTTTTGTTGTTTTCATTAATTATTTATAGCATTCAGTGCGTTTTCTAACTTCCCATAAAATGAGAAGATATATCACATCGGTATTGGTGGTGTTCATCTCTATGGCCGGATGGCTAGGTGGTGCTGATACTGGTTCAATCAGTGGAATCCTAAATATGAGAAATTTTCAAACTCGTTTTTCCGATCGTTATGATCCTTCTAAAAATACCTATTCTTATACTGCTGCTCGTCAAGGTCTTTTGACGGGTATGGTAAATGCTGGCTGTCTTTTCGGTGCCATGATTTCATCTCCCTTCACTGAAATCATAGGAAAGAGGAATTCCATTTGTTTTTTTAGCGCTTGTTATATTATAGGCCAGGTCGTACTAATTTCGTCAGTACATTCTTGGGTCCAAATATTAGTTGGAAAAATATTTGTAGGTCTAACAATCGGTGCATTGTCTGTACTTAGTCCAAGCTATCAGTCTGAAGTTGCTCCGCCCCAAATCCGTGGAGCAATCGTCTGTACTTATCAGGTATTTCAGACGTGTGGTACATTGGTGGCAGCTTGCATCAACTTGGGTACTCATAAACTCAGTGGAACAGCTTCTTGGAGAACCTCCTTTGGTATTAACATGCTTTGGGGAGTTTTTCTTATGATAGGTGTTCTTTTTCTTCCAGAATCCCCTAGATACCTCATTTACATTGGAAAAGAAGACAAAGCTCTTCAAGTAATGTGCGAGACTGCTGAGCTCAGTCCGGAAACAGAAATAATTCAAACAAATTTTAATACTATCAGGAGTGATATTGAAACTGAGATGGCCGGCGGTAAAGCAAAATGGACCGAGATACTTGGGGCCGAAATACGATACCGTACTGCACTTGGATTTTTAACTATGTTTTTAAGAGAACTTATTGGAAATAACTATTACTTTTATTACGCTACACAAGTATTTAGGGGAACTGGAATGACGAGTCCTTACCTTCCTGCAGTAATTTTGGGTGCAATCAATTTTGGTACGACTTTTTGTGTGCTGTATATTGTGGATCGAGTTGGAAGACGGTTACCTCTTATCATAGGTGCCGCTTTTCAATCTATTTGCTTTTTTATTTACGCGGCTGTCGGTGACAGGAAACTTTATAATCCAGACGGTTCTTCGGATACAAGAGCCGGTTCAGCTATGATCATCTTCTCATGTTTCTTTATATTCTCCTATTGTTGTTCTTGGGGACCTATAGGATGGGTGATTGTTGGTGAAACGTTTCCAATTCGATATCGTAGTAAATGCGCGGGTGTTGCAACCGCCGGAAACTGGCTAGGTAACTTTATGGTTTCTTTTTTTACCCCTTTTATATCCAATGCTATAGGCTTCAAATTGGGTTATGTTTATGCTTGCATTAATGTTCTTTCATCATTCCAAATATTCTTCATGGCGAAGGAAACGAAAGGTTTGACTTTAGAAGAGGTAAATGATCTCTACCTTTCTAATGTTAAGCCCTGGAATTCCTCTAATTATATTAAAAAAATTAAGGAAAGTCATACGAACTTTAGTAAAGAAGAAGAAAGACGAGAAAGGGAGAAATCCAAGGGAGTCCGAAATGAAGAGGAAGAATTTATTGAAAATGCCGATGCTATTAATTCCAAGGTTTAAGAGCTTACTTACTTCATTCGGCCTAGATAATTGTGCTCATCGTTATGTTGGTATGAAATCTCTAATGATTCTTCAAATTTCGTTATGATACTATTTTTATGATACCAAAAATTTGGAAGCATGATGTGTGTTCCTTTATACACGTTTTAGTGATGCGAACGCGCCGGTAAGCTTTAGTATATATACCCCGGGATACTTTACGAAAGCTAAATTGTTGATTGCAAACAGCTAAGACGTTTCAGCTATTCTTGTATTTTTGACTGTTTATTAATGTAATGAAATACTTATGCTAAGTTCTTTTTACGTTTTCTATTCACGATGTCTTATTTAGTACCTTGTGGATGATCTTGTGTTATAATTGGAGCAACTTGTTTGTCTATTATGGCTGTCTTAGAAGGTTTCTTTTTCATAGACAGCGACATTTGTCCAAGAATTATTAATACCCATAGATAAATTTACATACATATACGACATTGATTATAAAAAGTAATTTTTTAAGGGTGTTAGGTAAATTGAATGACGAAAACACGAGCAATTGGAAGTTAAAATTCGAAAGACCATTTTTTCTCTCAGTATGGTTTGATAGAGAAATTATTTTTATATGATACTTATACTGAACAGCTTATACTGATCCAGCAGTTTAATTTATTCATTAGAAGAAATATATTATTTAATCATGTGTGTATTGGTGTATTTACTCAACTTATAATACTACGGTACTAACAGGTGTCATAATTGGATCCCTCGTTAGCATTCATAATATAACAATTTGTTATAAGAATGGAATATTAGCTAATATCAGTTAATATTCATAAGCTTAAAGAATTGTGCTTGATAATAAGTAAACAAAAAATTGAAGATGCAAATTTCTCTTTGAATGCAGAAGCTCCGATTAAAATTTACAATTCGTGATCACTGCTATTAATTAGAGAAGCCAGTCACGATTACAACTACAAAATTGTCTATTGGAGTTGGACGTGTTAGTACTACGTAGAGTAATAGTAATATGTCCAGGGATCTGATTAACTAAATGAAACGACTAAAGTGTCAATCTTATTTAGCCTGATCAGTCAAATCTTCCGATCTGAAGATTTCGACTGTCAACACACATATATATATTGTTCTGTAAAACTTCAAATGTGACTGATTTCTAAATAGTACTAATAATCATACGTTAGTAAATCTTTAATCGTATGTTCTGCATTCAAAGAGAAATTTGCGTTTTCAATTTTTTGTTTACTTATTATCAAGCACAATTCTTTAAGCTTATGAATATTAACTGATATTAGCTAATATTCCATTCTTATAACAAATTGTTATATTATGAATGCTAACGAGGGATCCAATTATGACAAATGGCCATAACTAATTTTTGCTGATGTCCATAACAATATATTCTCTCATTCAAAAGATTATACTTTGCACGCACGTATGGCGAGCTCAGATGAATATAAGCTCTAAAGTATAATATAATGAACTTTGCAATCACATGAAAGTAGCGACGAAGCCACGATTAGCGAGCCTTTGCTGCCTTATAATTTAACTGAAATTTAAATATTACTTCTTTTGGAATTTGCAGTATAGTTTTTACTTATCTGACTAATTGTTTCCTTTACTACACAGAAGTCAATTTATTTGGCATACTTTGATAAAAAAATTTATCGCAACACAGATACTACTATAGTATTGTATATATATAAGCTAAATAATCATCAACTTGATCTGTCTACAGCATAACAACTTCAATAATGCCTTACCAAGTTTCGTCCAACCATTATTGCTAAGTTAAATCAAAATCGTCTGAGTGTCAGGGTCTCGTTAGTGCAACTGTTGGAAGCAACATGAAACTTGGTGCATTTATACATATACCTTTTAATAAATCAAACTCAATTTCTTAAATCGACCACAAGGGCTTTCATAAATTTGTTTGGAAATAGCGCACGTTACGAACTGTTAACTCTTACCAGTAGAATAATGGACAAAAACCATTGAGTGTAGTATAAGACGGAATAAAATTCCTGAAGAAATAATAATTTATTAATTTAATTACAGCTAGTAATAGCAATTTCGTCCCAATTATTCAAATCCGAAATGATACCATATATTCTCAACGCTCGTTTGCTTTGAATGGAGTGACCTCCATATGTGTAAGGACAATCCGTGTTTATAAAATGAAATCTTTGCTATAGCCTCTAATTTTCAGGTAAAAGTTGACATCAAGTCAATAGGTTCTCTAGCGATGGTCACTGTATCAAAAATGTTTTATAATGCTAGCTTACTTACTCATGATTATAGATGAATATTGGAGTTTTCTATGATTGTATACCAATATTGAAAATGAATAATTAACTAGAATGTTGATCTTTATTTTAGATTACATTTTTTTTTGCCATGACTGTATCTGAAGGAATGAGGGTTACAAATTGAATAGCTGTGGCTCCATAAGACCTCTATCTACTCCTTCTAAATTTCTCCAATAAAATAGTATTTTTCTGAAGTTACGGCTACTACCTTTTATTGAGTTATTTCTTATGTACCATTGAAAATTTATTCATTTATTGATTATCATTATCATTCTCTTATAACATTGCTAATAGCATTTTCATGAACTCTCATTAAAATATTCCATAGCATTACGTTTCATCATAAACTCATATACATCATAATTTTCTCAAATTCAGTTGATGGTAATTTGTTTCTTGGAGCGAGATTGCTCAATCTTGGGCAAGACAATACTCAAAATACCATTGGAATATTGGGCTTCAATACGGTCGGAATCGATCCTGCTGGGAATGGAGATAGTTCGGGAGAAGGATCCAAAGCGACGTTCAGACCATCTGTGGTTTCCACGATCTCCCTCGCTCTTGCGCTCATTCACGGATTTACCAGAAACGGTAAGTTTTCCTTCGTCGTAATGAACTTGAACGTCTTCCTTTTTGACACCAGGAAGTTCTACATCAACAGCAACCGTGTCTTTGTCTTCATGGACATCAATGGCAGGTGACAAATCAACAGCACGATCCTGGCGTTGAACGCGAGGAGAATAACTCAAAAAGTCAGAAAAGACGTCTTGAAATGGGTGCAAATCAAAGAAGGGTTGAAGAGACATTGTGATAATTAGTGCACGCTTAAGAAATGAATAATCGTTTGTAGAATTTCAAATGATAATTACAGTCGTTTTCCTTTGGTTTGTCGTTGTCGATTTCGACCCTACCGTTCTCTTATTTATACTTGCTCAGTAAAGGGTCCTGAACATTCCATAATCGAGTTAGTACTTTCTAGACGCAATAACGTTGCCACCACCCAGTATTTCCAGGAATGTCCTCGTGGTTCTTTGAACCTTTTAGTTACTTGTTTTTAATGAAACTTTCTGCTAATTTTTCTTTTGGTTTCTTGGTTTTCATTTCTTGTTGCTTTATTTTTGCCCGTCAGTTCTAGATAATTCAAGAAAATTAGTTTCCATTTCCTCTTTTGTATGATAATGGATTGTTCTCGCGTAGTCCAACTTTATTTTACGTATGGGAGATGTATAGAAAGCAGTACTTTTCGTCTTGCGTTGACAATTACAGTGTGTATTCATTTTATTCTCCCAACTTGTAGGCTTTATTAATTGCTTTCGATGCAACTAAATCAAATTTGATTCATTGCTTATTCTATTACTTTGCTTGATTATTACCACCGTATAGTAACGCTAACTAACTTATAAGAATCCGATAGTACCAGCAAAAAAAGGGAATCGGTAAAATATAAGAAATAACTTGGTGATACTAAAAGTGAATTACTCTGAACATTCATAATAGAATATATCAAGTAGTAGTAAACTTCAAAACGATAAAAAAAAATTCAGTGGACAAAACGAAAATCTAATCTCTTATTTCCTTCATCAGTAGTATTTTCAATATAAAGTTTTTTCTCCTCCTCCGTCATTCCATTCCATAGTTTGTCTCTTTTCTTGTTCACATGAACATAAAAGACTTTTGTAAATAAATAAATAACAATGTTCATACACGTTATACCAATAAGGTCGCGATTTCCACGTCGATAGCGAGGAGCGTCGTCTGCCCGATAAATTACGGCAGATACGATGCTACCAATCTGAACTGAAACGTTATACAATGAGGCGGAAACAGTGCGAGTGCGAACAGAATTCGAGTTTTGAGAATTCCAACCCACCTGCAAGGCATGAGCGTAAGGAGTGCCAACAATCAAAGTAGAGATTGCATACAACACCCATTTATTGGTGGACCCAGGCAAAAGGTATAATGCAATTAACAATGGTAGTACATAAAATTGCGGACTCATGCAAACTATTGTTTTTTCTCCAATCATTTCACTGAAAAAGGTGATTGCTAATAAAAGTAGTATTTTTAAAAATATAGATGGGAGAACCAGCAGATTAGTTTTGACTGTTGAAAATCCTAGACTTTTAAGGCTTAAGGTCAAATATGAGGATGGTGTTTGATATGGAATCATAAAACCAACCCCAATAGCATACAGAGGCCACAAATGATAATCACAAATGGCTTTCCATAGAAGCTTAAGGGTTAATGCTTGTCGGTTATGCATGGTTCCTTTCGATGGGTCGTTTCGTAGTGCTCTATTCACAATGATTTTCTCTTGTCTCTCACTAAACCAACCTGTTCTTCCGCGAAACCAAGATGCAGTAGCGGTTGGTCCAGAAGGCATCATACCGTAGGATAATAATCCAATGAATAAAGTGATAAGGCCTTGAATCAAAAAAAGGTAGCGCCAGCCAGCAATCCCATGATGACCGTCTAGTTTGAGAATGCCGACAGCAGAAAAAGAAGCGAAAATATCAGCAATAGAATTGGAAATCCAAAAGAAGGAAAAACGAAGATTTAGCTCCGAACCAGTGTAAAAATAGGAAAGATACAAAACTACATCAGGAATGAATCCTCCTTCTAAAATTCCAAGTAGCATCCGTGTAACATAAAAAGAAGCCCTATTTTTTAGGAATATTTGAAATATCGTAACAATACTCCATAACGTAATTTGGGTGGGAATCCAGCGGTCAGGACCAAGGCGTTTACTGATCAGTTGTGAGGGCAATTCGGCAAGCAAAAAGGAACAATAAAACACAATCATTCCTTTGTTGTAATCATTTGTATTCATACCCAAATCACCCAAAAAGTTATCACTCAAAGCCTGTTTAATGTTTGCACGATCCAACTCGAGCGCGAAAAACATTACACATGTCCAAAGCATAATGAACAAGTCCATTTTTCTTACAAGTCGTTTTTCTTCTCCCCATGTCCATCGAAAACCTGGATCGAACCGATGTTTATTTTCGTATGTATCAATAGGATAATACGTCTCTCGAGCCAGTGGGTCATCATAAACCGAATACTGCGTGGCTATAGCATCATTTGGTATTTTAACCCTTGGTCCAAAGAAAAAAGAGTATAAAGTCCTTGACGGAAGAGGAGGTCCCAAATCATCAACTTTCGATTCATCATCCTTGGATTCAGTTGACTTTACCGTCCATGTTTGCACTCCCTTTTTGTCTTCTTCCGGTTCGGATGAATGTGAACTTCGACTCCCATATGTATAAGTAAGACGGTCGTCAGTTTCGTCGCTCATTATTATGGATAATGGACCTGAAAGTAGCTTCTTTCCAAAAGATTGTTTTGATCGTTTTTAGGCAATTGCGCTATTTATTTTCTTAGAGCAAAATAAATAGTTTACGAACAATTGAGTAACGCAGTCGTTGTTATACGACTTTTCTATGGTGAAATTACTCACACAAAAAAGAATGAAAAAGGTTAACCAGCTGAAGGGATCGCACTCTGTCTTTTTTATATTCGAGAATCACCTCGTTGATTATCTTTTTGCGTTTGAGGCTTTTTCAGTCCTCAAATAACCAATTAATACGCTTACATATTGCTTTTTCTTCTCTTCAAATGTACAACAAATGCGGTCATATCTATGCTCGAATGGTAAATAAGTGGGTTTTTTTAGAAATCTGTAGACTTGATTATGCTACCTTCGAGCTTACATTGCGCTATGATTCGTGAGTATCACGGAGGATTTCTAATCCTAACCGAGCCTTATCGTTAGTAAATGCTAGCACCGGGTTGATTAGATATACGGAAATCAAATTAAATGAGATCAACGTTCAAGAGTTTTCCATATTTTTCAGTAAATGACAAATTCTTCTTTTTTTGCTGAGTAATGCCAGTTATTCACCCAGAACTACTTTTGATTTTTGATATTTTTGATTTTTTTTGTTTTTTTTTTAGTTTTTAGTTTTTAATGAAACCTGATTTACTAATTATAGGTAGAAATCATTCAAATATTTATGTCTAAATTGTTGAAGGAAGAAAAGTAGCAAAAAGAGGAGTAGAAAATGCTTGTCCTAAATCGTTGCATCTTTGTCTCGTAGTCTCCACGGTAGATGCCTTCCCGAGCTGGATAAACTCCATCTTGACAAGCCGTAAAGTCATAATTGGGAAAGCTTTGGCGGGCCTCTCTGGCTCAAGTGCAATATCACAGGGCCAATCCCCTGCTTCTTCAACCAATGGACAAATGTCGACTGGTATATCTTTTCGAAAATAGTCTCGGAAGCCTATTTCCATTGTTTGCAATGTACGAGGGTGTGTGAACAAACAATGATATTAGCCAAAAATTGGACGCTGAAAAAGCTCTTCATGAAGTTGGTCTGCCTGAGAGCATCCTAGATCGATCAAGTTTGGATCTCAAGCTCGGTGATCTCGTCAGGACCCACATTGTGCTTAGCTTGACCATGTAGGACTACTTATAACATTTCTGATTGTGAATTTTTTTGGCAGGTATTAACATCGCAATAATTTGAAAAATAGAAATTAAATAAAAAAAAGCGGAGGGTTTTATCCTGTTAAAAATATACTGAATAAAACTTCCAGCTTCCTAATGAATATGAAAAATGAGGAAAAGCCTACCAATTTTTAAATAAAACTGCTCATTTGATTAATAGTTTATTCATGATAAAACGTCTATGCTTGACTTTTTGACAAGCAAATGTTTTCTGCTATTATTGTGGCTATGTCATTATTATCAGTCTTAGGTTTTGTCCACTGTTATAACCGATACATAATATCAAGATGGGTCACTATAGTAAAAATGAATTTCTTCAATGGTGAGTTATATTCATTTTATTTAAACCAAATCATTATTACTATACATAATTAGTATAATGGATAATTAAATATAACTATTATCATGACGGTATGTATGCATTGTAAGACACGGAATTGGTGTAGTGAGAGATCAGATCGTCTTGGACTGACAGTAGCTGTATCTGGGAAACACCAAAACTTTGTATGTAGAAAAAGGGAGTCTAAAGCTTCTGCCGGATTAGACACTAACTATGGATACGGACCGGAGACTTGAGGTGCATACGCTTCTAGGTGACGACGAGGGACAAAGAACTTTTAGGATAAAACTCATGACATAAAAAATTGCTAAGAGAATTAGAGAGAAAAAAGTTTTGAATAAAACATAAAACAGGGATCAATGCCAGTCGTTCCTAAATGAAAACTGAAAACTGGGAAGTTAATAGCATTATTCTTCAACCTCTGGTCTACTGCATATCTTTTGGGCACCTAAAAGGAAAAGGGTGCGTATGATTTCTTTTTTTTGCGAATCAATTAAAACGTTGAAAATTCAAAATAATAATGTTTAAAATAAAAGAGAAAGCCTACAGCACCCAGGATTCCCATGTTGTCTCCAACCATAGTACTAACGAGGCCCTCAGACGCTTAACTGCAGTGATCGGACGGGAACTGGTGTTTTCGCCTAGGTATGGCCGTAGACAGGGATATCTCTAATTATGTAGTATTATATTGAGATTCTTCTTTGCTTAATGCATTATGACAGCAAGCTGCTATTTCTGTATATGCTAAAGCGCCAGTCAGCATGCTGAATTTTTTATATAGTTGTTAGTTTTTAAAAGACATATTTACCAATGAACTTGTGTAAATAAATAGAAGATCTGTAATGGGAACGAAAGAAGTTTTCGAACCTTCTTGATCTTTTAGATTTCAACGACTACATTCAAGAGATGTTCCAACTCTGTTTCATTGCTTGTTCATTTTTGGTTTTGAATAATTCCACATTTATATATAATAGATACCCCAATTGAGATTCTTGAAAATGATAATAATTCGGCTAAACAAAAAACAATTTGTTTGTACAATATATTTTCGATATAAAACTTTTTTGTTCCAATGAACATATCACAATAGTTTCGGCTGACATAAGCTTATCATTTTGACGAAGTGGCTGCTGGTAACATTTCCATTGGATCTAACCTTTTTTTATGTTTTCCGTGTACAACCTCAGCAATTCACTTTCAACAGTTCCATACCTTGGTTGAAATAAGTTGGTATCAAAAAATGACCGCTGGCTTAGAAAATACCAATTTATTTAAACCAATTACTATCGGTAAAAATAAGATAAATCAAAGAATCGTTTTTGCTCCTACAACAAGGTTGCGTGCTGCAGATGATCATACTCCAAGTGACTTGATGCTACAACACTATTCTGATAGAGCACAAACTCCTGGTTCTTTGCTCATTTCAGAAGCCACCTTAATATCGCTTCGTGCTGGCTTATACCCTAACATTCCTGGTATTTGGAATGACAAACATGTTCAAGGATGGAAAAAGATTACTGATGCAGTACATGCTAGAGGGAGTTATATGGCGTGTCAGCTTTGGTCAGCAGGAAGAGTTGGATCTCCAGAACTTTTGAAAAAGCACGGTTTGGACTTGATTTCTCCCTCTGCTTTATATGAAAGCGAAGACTCTAAAAAGGCTGCAGAAACTGCAGGCAATCCTGTGAGAGCATTGACTGAAGAGGAAATCAAGGGCATTATTTATGAAGATTACAAGAATGCAGCAATCAATGCTATGGAAGCAGGATTTGATTACGTGGAAATTCATAGTGCTCATGGATACATGCTTGATCAATTCTTACAGCCCGCTACGAATCAAAGAACAGATAACTATGGTGGTTCCATTGAAAAGCGTGCAAGGATCGTGCTTGAGATTATTGACCTTTTAAGTGACACAATCGGCGCTGAAAAGCTTGCAATCAGATTGTCTCCTTGGGCTAAATTCCAAGGAATGAAAGCTGAAGAAGATACTGTACATCCTATTACCACATTTAGTTATGTGGTAAATGAACTTCAAAAGCGCACAAACAACGGCAAGCAGCTTGCTTATCTTTCCATTGTGGAACCTAGGGTCAACAATAATATAGATGTAAACTTTTCTGACATTGTTGGTTCCAATGACTTTATCAAGCAATTGTGGAAGGGGGCTATTTTGCAAACTGGTAATTATACCTATGACAGTCCAGAGTTTAAGGGTTTGAAGGCTGATGTGGATGGTGACGACCGTACTATGATTGCATTTTCGAGATATTTCACGTCGAACCCAGATTTAATAGAGAGATTGAGGAAAGGTCTTAAGCTTACTCCTTACGTTCGTCCTTTGTTTTATGTTGCTCACAACTATGGCTATAATACATTTCCAAGCTATGGCAAAGAATTGCAGTTTGACCCAGAAACGGAGAAGGAGAGGCGTCCTGTTTCATTAATTTGAATGTTTCATGACAATTATAGACTTATTTCATGTGGAAAGGGTATTTATTTTCGGTTACGTATGTTTGTTTCAATCAACGATCTGAATTTCAATTAATTGAATTTTTCTTTCTTCGCAACAATCATCCGCTGCCATCATACACTTCGTCGAAGACTTTGACATAGCGCTAAAGAGAAGATGATTAGAAAATAATGTTCATGAAGCTACAATTGATGCCGCAACATCAAGCAATCTAAAAGACAAGCCGAATTAGCCAACATAGATGATGAAGAGCCTCCTCGTTGGTCTCAAAGAGGCATGGACCGTTCAGACAGGAGTCTAGGTGAGATTAAAGTGAAACTCAGCCGGATCAACATGAGGTCAACCAGAACAGATTATATACAAGGAAGAACAATGGGTTTTCAAGTTTCTTCCGTTCCTTCTTCAAACGTAAATGATCCAGATGGAGGTTTACCAACTAATACCTGTGTGGAGAACGATATAGAACATTTAATCAGAGAACAATGCGCAAGATATCTTACTGGATATGGCATATCTTTTGTTTTTAATGAAACTATTGGTTAAAGGACAAACTTTGAACGGCCTGAGTTTAATCCTTTGCTGGTCTGCAGTACCAATTCTCTGGTTTCGTCTAGTTAGGAATCGACGCACCCTTGTCGATTTGGTTAAACTTTACAGTACCAGGGCGAATGCTACAATGATATGAAAAAAAAGTTACATGGGTGATGATTCACAAAAATTTATTCATTCGCTATACTGAACTGTGAAAATCCTGTGATATGATTGTAATGAGAAAAGTCTGATTGTAGCTGTCCTTAGAATGTAAGGGCATAGCGGTAAACTTTGAATCATGAATTAGAGGGGAGATTCAATGTTGTTGCTGTAACATTAAAGTATCAGCATTACTGATCATCAAAGTACTACCTTGCAATAAATCTTCAACCGACGAGTACTGGATGATCATTAGTCAAAAAACTATGATGTCCAAGCGATTAACAGACTTTTGAATATTATAAATCTTAGAACCCTAAATATTGATGCTAAAGTCGTTTCTGCATTTTGAAAACGTTGAAAGGCTTTTATAGTTCGCTGATTTCTGCAAAGCTTCAAAGAGTTATGTTGAAAGTTCACACTTGTGAAATCACCTATAATTATATGACGAGAGCACTATTTCGAGAGTGGTCCGAGTCAAATTCATCACCGGCGGCCTCCTGCTCACCTTTGTCGACCGGCATAGCACAATGGATATGACTCGCCAAGGTCAGATTATGCATCTTTTTTCAAAACCTACCGAAGTGAACCATTCACTAGCGAAGAATTGTTAAACGGAGATCTTTTCGCCAAAACCACATTCCCTTACTCGGCGACTCCTATAAACTAGACCGAGCTCGACATCTGGTTGCGAATCCAACTGTGTCTCATTCCATCTCCGTCGATACCAATAGCAACCCCGGCACCACCTTTCCTTTTAATATGCACCTGGACTACTTCACGCTCCATCCCGCCTCACTACCTGCTTTAAATTCCCTTCTCATTACTTTATAGACAACTATTGTAATGTTATTACCTATTGAGGTTTTAATCTTTTCATGGAATAGTATTTTATACCATCACAGCAAAAATCTCGTATTGGATAACAATACATAATAATAAATAATACGAAAAATACTATAAAGCGCTCGGAAGAGTGGTGTAATTGTTAATTAAAGTTTGGTCTATAGGCATCGTTTATAGATAAATCCTCAAAGTCATTTTCATCTTTTTTGGTAGATTATTACCTATTTAAATTATCTCTTGTAAATATGAGCATCAATAGACAATATATTAAGATTGATTTAAAGGTTTTCAATAGCTTGCATCACGTCCAAAATTTATTTATGACCAACTTTTTGAGGACTTAGATGACGCGTGTTTTTGCAAACAAATTTACATAACGAACTTTTATGGCGACATGTTTCTAACATTACTTTTATGACTGAGTTCAGGCTGCAGAAACCACGAATGAGCTTAGATATTCTAGTTAATCTTTTATATGTGTGGTATAATGCATATATACTTTTATTAACTCGTATAAAGGTTCAAAATATAGTACACTATATTATCATTATTATATAGATTTACGATATCGATGGTTTCATTGCCTTCACCATCATTTGTCAAGCTTTGTACGTTTCATTCTCAAAAATTTTAAGCTCATTTTGAAGAGCAAGCTGTATCTTCTAATTTTTGTTTTCTCCTAAATATGGATTAACAGATTCTTTCCCCGCCAAATCGGGGAGGCCTTGTCCTTCTTGTCGCCTACTCTGTTGAAAAGTAGGAAAAACTTAATTGTTAACTCCTCTTATTTGAATGTTATTAATTTCTGTGTAAATTATACTTTGTACTAAGTAACAGCACTTGTTCAAATGTTAATGGCGGCTTAATTATGGTGAGAGACATTTAAATGAACCTTTATTGGAAGAAAAGAAAGAACTTTTGGGAACATTAAGATTTGTTGGTATTCTCCTACACTCACAAAGGATGAATTCGTCTGCCCTTATTTGCCTACTGACTAACACCACCACCACCACCATCATAAAAGCCATGTCGTCCTAACGCGTTGATAGCAGCTTTTACGTTGCACGCATCGCTTGCATTTCTATCTTGCTTATATTAATATTATTAACTTGTTAATTACCTCATAGTGCTTGTAAGAGGCGTTCCATTGAGTCGAAAGAAAATCTCTTTCAGGCATGTATACGAGTGTTTTGAGTGATGTCGTTTATGTGCTTGAGTTTCATTGAATTTTTTAATCAATTATTTATCAAACTTATTATTATTCGTTCCTCCTTGTTTTGAGTTGAGCAATTTTGATTCCTGTTACAACAGCTTATTAAGCACAAAAGATCGTTGATTCCAATGAAGAGTGAGTTAAAATTGATTGAGAATAGATTAGTAATCATGAGAAATTATAAAAAGAATGCTTTTCTAGCAAAACTAATTCAAGAATTCCCTCAACGCTTGCATATTTTAAGACGACGAAAACAGGTTTTCACCAATTGTCTACAGGACTCGGATATCCCTTAAGTTAGAATTATTTTGACGGCGACAGCGTACGTTTTGCTGCCAGCGTGGTATGCACAATCACAAGTGAATTCAATATTGGACAAAAATAAAACACTTTTGATTGATTGGGAATAAACAGTTTTTAGCGACTTATTCACTTCTATTGACTTTCTTTCCTTTCATTGCATTCCGTTCTTTTTGCGTTTTACGTTTTACCAAGTCAATTCAACCCAACCATGACCCTCACGGCTCATCACAAATATGCTATCATCTACATTTGTCTGATACTGGGGTTGCTAATACTGTTTGGTTTTTTATTCTTGGTTGAGCGCACTCGCGTTTGCTACAAGTCAAGTCAATTAATGAATTTTCCGGAAAACCATAAAAAAAAACAGAATTTTCTAGCCAAAACTTACATCTTTTTCCGAAACTACTACTTGCATTTAGTGACAACCAAATGGCTACTTACCATAATATTTGTGCTACTGGTTTGCGCCGTAAGTATTCCTTTTATAGGTGAAGAGACTCCTAAACTTGGTTCAAAAAATAATGCAAAAAAAAATTGGAATAGAGATTCCGTTTGTTCTCGTTTTGCTTATCTAGCTTGCGCTCTTTATATTGTAACATACCTCTTTAGTTTAAAAAACAATCCCTTTGCTCTGATGCTTCTCACGTCCCATGAAAAATTGAATTACATTCATCGTCGGTTGTCCATCTTTGCATTGTTGTTTGGACTCATTCATGGAATTGGGTACATAGGAATTGCCGTCGCTGATAATGTTCATTACCGCTTGGCGAGCGGAATGTATTTAACAGGATACGCAATCATAACCTTTACGGTTGTCATTGCTACAAGCAGTATCTCATTCATCCGGAAAAAATATTATGAATGGTTTTTTGTTTTGCACCACCTTTGCAGCATCGGATTATTGTGTAGCATTTGGCTTCACAGCCAGAATGCCGCTGTTTATATGAAAGTGTGTGTATCCCTGTATGCCTTTGATCGTGGTCTGCGTATATTGCGAAGTTTTTTAAATTCTTCCAAGTTTCAGATCTTCCTCTGGGATGATGATTTGATTTACTTGCGAGGACCAAAACCGAAATCATTATTTTTTTCCTTACCCTGGGCGGCTGGAAGCCATGTCTATTTGAATATTCCTTCTCTCAGTTACTGGCAATTGCATCCCTTTACCATGGTGAGTTCGCCCACTGGCGATTATGTTGAGATGATGATTGCGGTACGGACAGGTTTCACGAAACGCCTTGCTGGCCATGTTAAAAAGAGTGGATCTGTAAAACAGGTCCTGCATGAGGAAGAGGGAAAGCTTGGTCTGGAAAGTTCTTCTTGTAAAAGTGAGCATTCAGAAAAACAACCCTCTTCCTGGTCGTGGTCCCCTACTTCTTTGGACGTACCCAGTCATCAAATGACTGTGTTGATGGATGGACCCTATGGCCCTACGACGAATCTTTACAATAACTATTCATATGTACTTTTCCTGTCGAGTGGTGTTGGTATTACATATACTCTGCCGCTTTTAAAAGACATCATTCAATCAAAGTCGTCAAAAACAAAGAAAATTACGTTTGTCTGGAGCTGCAGATCGAAATCCCTTTTCGTAGCTATTTTCAACTTATTGAAAGAACTCATGAAGGACGAGAGTCAGATTCAACTAGACATAACTTGTCACTTTACAAACAGTTATTCATACAGGGAGATTCCGGATATTCAGTTCATATCAAACAAAAATTTATATCTCCGACTTTTAGATGGTCGTCCTCTTTTTGATCACTATTTGAAATCATGCTTGGAAGAAACACAAGGGCAGACCGCTGCCATTGCGACTTGCGGTTCAGAGAGCTTCTTGAAACATGTCAAAAAGAATGTCACCTCATGTGTAACAACTTCAGATGATTTGTTTCAACATTACGAAGAAATGTGACTTCCGCTCTTGATTCTGGTTTGTTCTTTTTTTTTCTGTTTTTAGCTATGATATCGCGACAACACTCTTTTACTTAATATGAATTCGCGTATGCAAAATGTTTTCCTATCAGGGTTTCTTCTTTTGCAGTATATAGTCCTAATTTTTAAATGGCTCTTTCTTTCTTTCTGTACGTTCTGCAAAACTTATTTATGATTCTTAGAAGGAAGTGATTGAATTGAAAGAGCATGTGATGGATTCATAGTCAATGAACGGCAATGACTCTGAATGATTTACAGGCTATTTATTAACAATTTATCTCTTTTTTAAAAAACAATGACACAACACTACAATAAGGGAGAATGACAATATGCATATATAAGCGTGAAAGCAAGTATGAGATGCAAAAGCTTTCTCATTGCATTTCTGGTTAATTGAAATTAAAAGCAGCAATGTTCAAGTAATCATATAATAAGGAAACCAGTATCCGAGAGTTCAACAAAAGATTGAAAGCTAATGAAAATCAAAACTCATAGGCCAAACCAAATAGCAAAACTGCTAGAAAATTTAGAGATTATGAGAGCCTACAGCACCCCAGATTCCCATGTTGTCTCCAACCATAGTACAAACGAGGCCATCAGACGTTTTCACTTAACTGCAGTGATCGACGGGAACTGATCTAGGTATGGCCGTAGACATATGTTGTTAAGCATGATATGCCTTAAATTTTTTTTCTCATCTATATCGATACTTAACAGCCAGGTTCAATCCAGCTCGAATGAACTTGCTGTGCATTCTCGAAATTGCTTCAGGATGTTATATGAGACTTTGTTTTGTTTGTATATTGTTCTTAATTTCTACACGAAAATATTTGTACTTATAAAAATCGTAAAAAAAAAATTGATAGAAAAGAAAAGGATCACAAGAATCATCGTATACGCAACCTCGTTCTTTCTTTAAATTGAATTAAATTAAATATGATTCTTTTAAAATTTTATTTTTATATTTTCAACAGATTCGCATTACAAAAATGAAATGCGAATCCGTTGAAACAACCCAACCCAACTCAACTCAACTCAGTGAATATTTCCATAAAAGAAAACACAAGCGAGTTCCTGCTTTGCTCGCTCGAAACATACGAAACCTTGTGCAGAATGCTTTTGTGTTTTGCGCTTGAAATACTAACTTATGTAGGTCTACAAAATGGACGCTAGAAGACGAAGCAGAGAACAAGGAATTCAAATAATGGTTAAAACATAATCATAAAAAATAGCTGAAATAAGTGAAATAAGTGAAATTGAGCAAGTACTTTCCAATTGCCAAAGTGAAACTTTTAACCAACGCAGCGTGACTACTAAAAGCGAAGTGGACAAAAAATTTGGATGGTACGGTATGCGTTTCGGTTCACCCGTAATTTTAAATTCAAAAAGTGCAAAGCGATAGCGAAACGAAATAAACCATTATTGTTTCATTGTATCATTGTAAACGAAAACGAAGGATCAAACTTTTCATCTTTTTTTCTACGATTACCGTTTGCATCGCTACTTTTTCTAAAAAATGCAGTATTCTATCTGCATACTAACCCTTGCACTCTGCTTTTCACTCGCGCGGGCATGGGTCGCTTATGATCCTTTATCTTTAGAAAATAATACCAATGCAAGTGCGAAAATTGCTAACTACCCATTTTATATCCAAGCTTTTCCATATGATTTCAACTGCATTGGAAACCTTTCTTTTATTCAAAATCCTCCTCCTGTTGACGGACAAGGAATTAACTCGTATATGGAAAATGTTAGCTCGATTTTGACTGTTCCCGCAGATAATACCAGCGTGACGTGTATGTACGTAGGAGACGACGAGCCTACATGCTACTCTGGAGATTCACCAACATGCTTCAGCTTGTCAAAAAGCATAAACAAAGTCAATATTCTCATGAACGATTCATCCCATGTAATCAACAATTCATTATCAGCCTTGTCGACCCAAACTTACTATATAATAACCCCAAACTTGACATATGGTTATTTGAATTCAAGTGTGAAAGATAATAAAAATGAACCTTATGTAGGATACGAAAGCTACTTGTATCCCTGTGATGGGAATCAAACTTGTATGTTTGATTACTTGAGAACGGAAATAACCCCAGAAAAAAATGGTTCTGGTTTTACTTATCATTGGGGCAAAGACAAACATTTCAAACATAAAGAAGAATTTATGGACTATTTTGAAAAACAACAAGAAAACACTGCAAGACACACAAATATGTCTTTTATCCCGCCAAACTTAAAACCGATTTCTAATAAACGGGTTGTGAACCAAACTGAGTTGGTACCATCTTTAACCTCAACTCACAAAGCAAGTAGATTGCTGTACATTTGCTTAGCTTTTGGTTTGATTATGTTGAGTTTTCGGTGATAAAGAGGGAACTAGTAGCTGGAGTTAAAATAGAGTCATTGTTGTTGAGAAGGTTACAAAGATGTCGAAGGATATAAGCCAGATGGCATTGTAAATTGTAATCTTTTCAGCAAACACATTCATAGGATTCTCACAGATCTTGCTGCTTCTAATGTTTTGAGTGGTACTTGTGATGTGCTTGCGGTCAGGTAGGTGTTTTACGATCCCTTTGATAGACAAATTAGGTTTATAATGAAATTGTATGTCTTGTTCATCCTTTTCGTGCGTTCAACAAATACAGAATATACACGCCAAGTCATACCCATATAGAGCATCTGCATTTATTTTGTTTTCATGCACTGTTTTATATGATTTATTTATTCTTAAAAAAGTGACAAACAGAAAAGAAAAGGGTAAAAGCAGATAGTCTGGACTTGGGATTCCATAATTAGTTTCTTCCTACCAAACGTTTTGCATTTGTTACTTCTTCGGTAACAACCAATTTTTGGAGGAGCCATATCGTTCATCATAGCAAACGGTGAACAATAACAGTGTGCTCAATGTACAAAGGAATGTGTAAGTTTGCAGTAACGTCTTACGTATGATGGTAGACAAAAAAAAAAGAGATTTTGTTAAATGACTCTTTGATCAAAGGATTATGGTATCAAACAGTTGCCTGTTTTTGAATGATTAAGATTGAATATATACGTATGGCAGCTTAAACTATCGGTTTGGCCGTTTGGTCTAGTGGTATGATACCATCTTAGGGTGATGGTGGTCCTGGGTTCGATTCCCAGAACAGCCCAACTTACAACTTTTTTAACTTGTCATTATTTGGTCAATGCTATGAATAGCGAAAAAGTGAGTTCTTTCATGGCAGAAAAGCATAAGACCCATGGGGACTTGTGAGGACGAGAACTTTTAACGACGAACGCAAATTTGGCCAAGTGGTTATTTTTTTTTTTCATTTTTTATTCGACAAATTCAGAACGAAATTTGTAGATGTCGTTTGTGATTGCTCAAGTAATCATGCCTAAGCATCCGCGTACGCAGACAGCAATTAATTTCAGCCTAGTTCATAATTTATTGACAGTCTTGAACAACGAAAAAAGTACTAACTCTTCAAAAGATATAGTACTTTAACGGAATGTATTGAACGAGGCCGTGAGTTTTAATATGCCGCATCAGTGGTGTAGCGGTAACATGGATGCCTTCCAAGCATTCGCTCCGGGTTCGACTCCCGGCTGATGCAAGTTTTGGTTTTTATTTGTAAAAGAACAAGAAAACCACAACAGAAATCACGCGCCGTATAATATTGAGTTTCTAATGGAATAAACAACCTCAATTGGATTACCTGGTGCTACGTAAATGAATAGTAATAACGGTCTGACCCGTCGATTCTTCCAGTCTGTAGATTTCGACTGTAAGTATGTGGTTTACACAGCTTTTTCTACGGAGTCAACGTAATCATTTTCTTTGTTCTATCATTTTGGTCCCCATTTCATTCTGCATCATGTTTTCATCCTTTGTTTACTTGGTAACATGATAAATTATCTTCACCAGCTAATATAATAAAGATGAACACGTGGCCGACAGCGACATGACATATGTGACAACATGAATTATCAATCGCATGTATTTAGCTTCGTGCCACACGCTCGTTGGCTCGGTTTGCAAAAAAGCTGCGGGGTATAACAACCGAAAAACTTTTGACTCAGCACATGATAAAGTTGTTACCACCATCATCGCTTGTTTCTCCTAGCTCCGACTTTAATGTCGGACTTTAAGACTCGGGTTAATTCAATGTAAGTTGACAAGTCAGTTCTGGTTCGTTGTTTACGTCCGTTAAGTTGTTCCTAGTTCCATGGTGGTATGATTTGTACAATTTCCTCTTATCTTTTATGACGAAGTGTTTCTTGCTACAGTTAATATATAAAGCCTGAGATTTCCTTCCAACTTGTCAGATATCATCGAAAAAGAATCCATCTTTTTGTATCATATTTAATTCAGTTTTGAACAACATATCTTTTTTTTTTTTTTCATTTCAAGCTACTATTAAAATGAAGTTTTCCTTGTCTGCTGTCTTCCTTACTCTTCTTGGAGCCACCTCTACGTTGGCTGCTCCAGCTTCAACATCGTCTCTTGACAAACAATTTGGTATCGTGAGTAGTCACTCTGGTAACATTCATGTCCACCTACGCACATTCGAAGTTGGTCAATCTGGTCATGTCTACTTGAGCAAATACGATAATTCTGACGGTAATCCCCATTTTAATCTCAAAAATGGAGAGCTGTTCCATGAAAACAAGGCTGCTTCTATTGACAAGGATGGCGCCCTTGTTTTCGAATCCTCTGGATCTCCTGTGTCAGGTTTCGAAGCTAAGAAGGAAAATTCCCAATTATATGAACTCAGCTTGAACAATGATTACCCTGTAGCATGCCCTGTTCCCAATACCAACGATGTTTATCAAATCTACTACGGAAAGGGTAATGGCAATGCTGACTGTACTTATATTTATCCTTTGGCTGCCTTTCCTTAAATGCCGTTCTTTTTTGAACTTTTCGAATTCCATTTCATACCCTTTTGCACAACGTCTATGTTATCGATTCAACTCGATAACTTCGACCATTAGCTAATTTTTACATTTGCATACAATCATTATTTGCATCAATTGAAGCATTTTATATCTATTTTATCCAACTTTTCAATCATTTTCTGTAATTTTCATAATAACGTAACGAGTGGAAGAATGTATTCCAATCCTCTAAGGAAGAGTGATAGGTTCCTGTTGTCTTTTTTTTTTTACATTTTGTAAAGCAAACTTTACGGTTTAATGGTCTTGAACTTTACTTAACAATTTTTCTGGAATATATATACATATTATTATTGCCAAGTTACTGTCTACTCGTTTCAGATGTATGTCTGCTAGGAGATGAGAGACTGTTAGTAGAGCTTTCAATAGAAAAAAGTTGCGTTCGAATAGTGTAACAGATGAGAGCTGGATTACTGCTTTAAGCTCCTGGCGCTGTAAGAATGAATTCCTCTGATTGAGCATATATTTCCTCATCATGCTTGGGGTTGCCTATGTTGATGCGATAGCCTCCACCAGTTGGCCAATTGGTAGTGTCGGTGGTATAGCTGCCATCTGATACAGAAACCGTCGCAAGGAACTTGGTAAAGGGAGGATACCTGAAATAGTTGCTTAAATATATTCCCACAATATCCTTGTCTGTATTGACAAAATTCCAGGTAATCGTGTGATCCTCGCCAGTTTTCCACTGTTCAAATGTTGTAGGATTTGTGATTTGTATAGCCATAGAGTAGGCGATAAATGCGAATAATACCAGCTTTGATAGCATCATTTTGAAAGAGACAAAAGATAGTTTATGAGTGAAATGATTCAAGGAGACAAGGTAGAGATGTTCACCGATTGAAGGGTTAAAATATACAAATACGAAAGAAAAAAATATCGACAATAATGATTTTTTACTAAATGGATTCATGAAGCGTGGTCGGTCTATTTATAGACAAATACTGATCCTATATTATAAACAAACAAACAAACAAACAAATAGGAAATGTAAATTCAAAGATCGATAATGAACGACAGGCTGTTTAATCAAAGCTATTTTTTTGTTTGTTTATTTCTTTACATGTATTTGGATTTCGTGTAATTGAGGAAAATGGTATACTTTTGGTTTCCCTGAGGGCTTATACAGACAGAAAACCTTATCAGGAATTTTTCAAGATTACCCGCCATTTTTGATGGAAGCGTTACTTCTGATCAATGCTCGCGTTCCCTTTTGGTTGAAGCTGACACACTTTAAGCAATGAAGGCTTCTTCTTGGTCTTCAATGCGGGTTTGGTTGATATGAGGATGAAAGAAAGCATCCAAGTTAGCAATAAACATAATCGTACCGCAAGCAAGCATAAAGATGTTATTCGGGTTCCAATTCCATCAAAAGCATATACACTAGCAATAGCGCAACATTTACCAATAGCAGCGGGTGACGGTCGGTGATATTTACATATATACATGAACAATATTGAAGTTCGTAACAGC